TGTTTGATACCTGGACTTGATCGGATGAGTTCTGTTGGAGTAATTGGAGTGACTGATTTACACTGATCGGCCACTTTATTAGGTATAGTTTGCTGTTACTGGATGGATCCATCCCTTCATGTTGTTTAAGACCCTACTACCCAAATGTTGCATCAGAAGATTAGACTCATCAGACCAGGAAACACTTTTCCCATCTTATTGTTCAGTTTTGGTGAGCCCCTGTGAACTGGGGCCTCAGTTTCTGTCTCTTAGCTGACAGGAGTTTCACCTGGTTTGGTCTTCTGCTGCTGTAGTCTGCCTGCTTCTGAATGCATGTTGTGTGTTCAGAGATGCTATTCTGCATACCTTGGTTGTAACACGTGAGTTCTCTGTAAATTCTGAATGTGCTAACTGTCTACAAGAGTGAGAATCATTAAGTTTTGTTTTCTGCTTTGTCTTTAAAGTGCAGCACTTACTTGAGATGAACACCTACCTGTTAGCAGCATTGTCTCTGATATTGGCTTTATTTTTGTCTGCAGAGTTCACAGTGAAGTCTGTTCTGCCTGCGATATCGCCACTCAGAGGATGTTTAGAGGAGGAAGGACCGAGTACATCCGCTCACCCACCAAGCAGGGGCTCCAGTTCATTCTGGCCTTTGATAATCCGTCCGTATCGGTGAGAAGCACAAACCCTGTGAGAAAGTTCTCCCGCTGAATGGGAACAGAACTGTTGGAGGATTTTTGTAGCTTGGATTCAGAATGTGTTTATTTTTTGGGGTTTGCAGCGGGAAGCAAAGCAGGAGCTGTTCAGAGAAGCTGTTGATGCCTACTCGGCTCTGACCAAAGCGGTAAGTGTTAAATAAATGTTAAAACATTTATCTCAAAGCTGCTGATTAACTGATTCAAAAACACTCAAACAAGAGTTTCATTTCTCTTTTGTTCAGGCACTTAATGGACACGGCATTGACCGCCACCTGCTGGGGCTCAAGCTGCAGGCCATCGAGGAGGGCATGAGCATTCCCAAAATCTTCATGGACACGGCTTACGGGCTAGCAACACACTTTAAACTCCGGACAGGACAGGTGTGTGTGTGTCTTTGTTCGAGGTGTTATTTACACTGTTGCTCAGTAGGAAATGGGAATTTTTTTTGTTGTTGTTGTTTTGTCAAATGATAGTGGCTATATGAGAGGGAATTTTCTACCAGATAATCTCCTGTGAAGTTCCTGTGAATTTCTTGCAGCACACGCATACATGGATGCTTGGAGTTTCCTCAAAATGAATCTGTTTCTCTTCCTCATTTTAGGTGTTGACAGTCAGATGTGTGGAATTTTTGTAGGTTTTTTTTTTCTTTTTTGCCCCGGGGTCAGCTCCTGATTGTTTGTGGGGTTTTTTCTGGCATGCCTTAGTTTTCAAATGACAGTATATATCAAAGCATTTGTACAGTATAGCTGAATGTTCCAGATTCGCACAGTTTTAAAGGGGATCTGTGCTGCTTGGTTGAACTCAACGATGTAGTTGTTTTGTTTCTCCTTCTTATCTTTGACAAAGTTGTGTTGTCTCATGAGTGTGATTCAGGAAAAAATACCCAACTGGCTGTTGAGATAATGACAAGTTTCCAGTTAGCAGCTATGATCACCGGTTATGTGGATTTTGACCAGTTGGAGCATAAATTGTGACGGCAAATTTTCATTTAATTTTAGTCATAAAGGAGGTAGTTGATGATAACTGTGATGAATGTTATTGGTCAACAAAGTTAACACGGCCCAGCTCGCATTGAAATGTAGGTGCTCGTATTTGATGTTTTATGAGCAATTAAAAACACTGTAGATATGAAATGAGAACAGCAGAATTGAGCTCTTGGCATCTGTACAGATCATGTGATATAACTGGAAGCTCTAGATCAGCTGTCTGGTGAGCCTTAGTGTTCTCGTGATGAAGAGTGAACTTTGAGACTCAGATTTGAGGATTTGTGTGTTTTTAATGACGTGTGCCCAGCTTTAAGGCCCAGTTCCATTATTGATCTCCCTCCTGTCTTGTCTCTTCAGATGCCTGCAAACAACACGGACAGCGTGATGTGTTTCGGTCCTCTCGTTCCTGACGGCTACGCCGTCTGTTACAACCCTCAGGCGGACCACATCCACTTCTCCATCACGGCCTTTAACTGCTGCGAGGACACTAACGCAGAGAGACTCGCTCGCACTTTGAGGGACACCATGTGTCATCTGCAGGAGATGTTGCAGCCTACTGTGTAGAGCTGCTGCTACAGCGTCCAGCAGCAAGATACCAAACATTATCTCTAAAGAATATTTTGTACGACTTTTGTAGGGGTGCTTTTTTTGGGGGGGGGGGGGTATGCTTGCTACTCACGCTTCACTCGAGCATTTAATTGTGTGAGAGCCTGGAAAAGATCTCTGCAGCTCTCGGGTTCTTTTGTTGCTTCTTTAAAGTTTGGGTGAAGCGATAAATCTTTTTCTAAGCTGTCAAATTTGCATCGTCATCGTTGCATTTCGAAGCATCAAATTCCACAGCGTCTCTCGATGAAAGCGAAACGACTCAATGTGACACTCCAGCATTAATCGGAAACGTCTACGCGTGCACTCCTTTGTACAACTTGTGAGATGACCTGTGTCCTTCAACCTTTCACATTTCACTTTTTCATCAGAATTAATGGGAAAGTTGGATTTTTTTTTTTTAATAGGTGAAAAAGGTGGTTTGAATGGACCAGAGGAGAGGAATTATTGAGGGTGATGTGGTGTTTTTGTGTCTGAACTCGACCTGATCGTGAGATGAATTTTGAATAAGCATAATTTTTGTTGTTTGTTTGTTTATTTGGAGGATCTTGTTCTGCACTCAACCTGCAGGACTGGTTAATAAAGCCTGTGCTCACATAATTTCTCACTCAAATTATTTTGTCCATGTTAAAGAAAGTATGAGAGTGAGGATTTCCATTAAAAATCTGACACTTTTTCAGCAAAGTGGCATCACAGAATCGCAGTTTTTCACCCAATCTGATTTCTGCTCCAGTGCGCCCCCTCCAATGTTCAAATCTGGACACAATGAGATCTCAACTTTTCAAACCTCATCAGCAGAGCATCTGAGCTGCCTACTTTATGAAAGGTACATTAAATAACTATAGTGTATGCAACCCGTCATAGCAGACCACTACCTGATGAATAACAGGAAAAGCTGACCCTTCAGTCTAGGCTAAAGGGAGGTAGTTTGCTGACGTGGTTCTCCTTAGTGGTAAGGGTCACTGCAAATCAATACAACATTATCTGGAGTGATAAGTTTATCTCATTGTGATGTGAGTGTTTTCTACAAGGATGATGGTACTCCTGGCCAGTGTCAGGGGGGAAGGGGTCTGTGGCCGTATAATAGATGTTTGAAATTAAAATTAAAGTAGAAAGACCTGTCAAAGCTGCATGCCATAAGTGATCCTGCACAATTAATAAAGCTGCTCAGTGGGTGGCCTGTACAGGCTGCACAATTTTAAGGTAATGAAACCTGCTTTAAATCACAGAATTATATGCATATAAATGGTACGCTCAGAAATACAGATCAAAGTATAAAAGTGCAAAAAAATATTTGAGAATAATGGGAAACATGAAGTTGCAGAGGGGATACAGCAACCTTTTTGAACAGGCCTGGACTCATGAGGCTTTTCCATAATGCCAAAGCTTGGAGGTCACTGAATGGGTTGAAGAGTATGAAAATGATCTGAGTCACCAGCTCTTAATCCAATGGAGCACTTTTTGAGGATTTGGACTGGCTTTGTGGAGAGGTGTATGAGAACTGGTCATCGTCCCTCCACACTGCATTAGAGTCTGTCAAGCAGCACTGAAGATGAAGCTGTATGTGTGGCCTAACATCCAGATTATTCCTCTTTGTTATCTATTTCTATTTATGCTTATGTTGTGACTGAGATTTATGTCAAAGTTCAAAGGTCAGACTGAATAAACATGCCTGTAAACTGCAGCTTGACTGACTGTCAGAGGAATGCAACAGTAAAATTGTAATTTCAGTTTACAACGGAGTATGCACCAAAGGAGCAAACACCATTGAAAGAGGGAACTGCTTACATCATATTATTATGGCTCTCATGATCAGTAGTTTTATAGTTACATAAAGTGAAACATTTTCCCAGTTTTAGCTTCGTATTAACTACCAAAGTTCTTATTTGGTTCGGGTTTTTGAAACTTTGTAAGTTTCTGTAAAAATAAAACAAAAAAGTTGACAAAATGTATTAAACTTTTTTAGTGAAATGCTTATAAAACATTATTTAAAAAATAAAACTTATTTAAAACTTGTTTTCCCTGTCACTTTTTTTTTAAAATAATGTTACAATATTTATAAAGGCAGATGGTGTCTGAGATAGATAGCATGGCCTTCTGTCCACCAATCTAAGGGACAGCGCATGAACAACCCTTGAGCACCAGATCCATAGAGGCAGGGGTCAAGCTAAAGACTGATAAGGTGCCCTGGAGACTATCAAACATATAGTTGCAGAAGGTTAGACGCAATTGGACCCGTGTAAGTTGAGAGGCACAACCAGGTGGCTGGGGCAGCGTACAGGAACATCTGTCCATATACTGACTAGAATTCCCTGATGGGAAACACCACCAAGGTGGTTGAAAACAACAGGGCTGAGGTCCTGTGGGACCTTGAGTTCTAGGCGTACAAGCAGCTGCTGGCTAACTAACCTGATGGCTGACAAGGAGCAGAAGACCGTATTTGCATTTTATTATAACATTATTGGCAGCAACAAATAAATACACTGTGTTAAAAGCATTAAAATATTTGAGTTGCACAGCCCAGCATTAAATGAATTTGATCAAAATCAGAGAGACACTGTTAAAGCTGCACATTAAAGAGTAAACAAAGCTTGTTATGTTACATACTCGCGTCACGGTGTAACAGTCTAACTGTTTATGTTGTATCTGCGCGTGACCCTGTGGGGCAGCGCTCTGCTTCCCGCTGATTGGACGAGCGGAAGCAGGAAATGACGCCAGTAGCGGCCGCTTCACCTGTAATTTAAAACCGGAACAAACGAAAACAAAAAGCAGGGACCAGCTGTGGAGTGTTTCTGCTTTTCCTGGAGTGTTTTGAGCACTCTCACGGAGAAGCGCTGGCCGTGAAACAGCATCGTCTAAAGGAGCACAACTGGACCCAGAATAATGCCACATTAGCAAAAACCCAACAGTTTAATGCTTTTATTTTTTTACAACACCTTTTCTCGCCTTTATTACTTTAAGTTGTGATGGAGGGTTTCGGTTGTGCCAGCTTGAGGATGAGGAGGAGGAGAAGCAGCAGCGGGGCAGCCGGGCTGCTGTGGCCGCTGCTCGGTGCGTGTCTCTGGGCTTCGGTGGTCGGGTACAAGCCGGTGATCATCGTGCACGGTTTGTTCGACAGCTCAGGGGATTTTATAAACTTACAGCGGTTCATTAACGAGGTGAGTGTCGGGGCTAACGGAGAGGCTGATTCAGGGGATAGTTAAGGTGTATTTTACAGTAAATCCTGCAGGCCTTACAGGTTATATCACCACATGTTTATCAGCAAAACGTGGACCGTGCAATATGCATCTGCTGTTAGCGAGCTTTATGGTAAGGGTAATACATTATTTAGTGATTTAATATGAAGTACTTTCTGCTTTGTTGATGTAGAAATAAAGCAGCAATCATACAATTAACGGGCTCATTATAGAGAAGTTATTGTGCTGTAATATAACACCGATCAGAGTTGTATTATTACTGTATTATTACTATCATTAAGTTACTTTCCAGAGCTGTGTTTGGTTTTCCTGTAATTTTTATTGCATATGTCTGGGGTAAGATTAAATATGTTAAAAACAGTCTCCTCAGGCTGGCTTTGCTCACAGATGGGGAGAAAATGACAAAGACTAAAGCGTTCTGCTTTATTTTAGCGACTTTTTGTAAGTGCATAATATCCTGTCAGTTACTTTACCAAATTGTATTTTTGTTTCTGTTAAATTTCTCATGCTTAGTTTTAATTATTGAGGTTTAATTAACTGAAATAAACCTGTTCTGGACTGCGAGTGTAGAAGAAAAATAATGTTCTTTATAATAGATACACTAAAGCACCTTGAAGTCTCTCAGTACTCACAATGATAAAGTGATTAATTACTACTAATCTTCTACTACAACCTCCTCACACACACACACACACACACACACACACACACACACACACACACACACACACACACACACACACACACACACCTATAGAAACTGTCAAACTCTCACCAGATGATCTGGCTATGTATGCTTGTTTCTGCCTCAGAAAAAAAGTGTTATCTAGTTATCTCAAAATTTCAACTGATTTTCAAATAATTTTCTCAATTTTGAGTTATTTTCTGAGAAGTTTGAAGTTTAGATTTTGAGATAAAAATGATTTTTTTTGTTTTCTGTGTCAGGAACAAGCTTCCATACCTGGCTGATGTAACTTGTGTGTTGATATTTCTGGAGTTTCTGTGGACATGTCAGGAGAGGTTTAAGAGGTTAAAACCAACATTAGGTTCCTCTTTATTTATTTTTTCTGGAAACCACAGAAGAGACCTTTGTGGTTGGCTTAAAATACCAAAAGCGGATCTGAGGCCTTGTTTTTTCTGCTTTAGTTAATTTGCAGTTCAGTGATTCAGAAGCTTAAACATCCTCAAGGATAACTGACAGCACCGGCATCTGAAGTTACTGAGGGCACGTTGCTGATTCTTGTAGCTGTTCAATGCTATAATATGACAAATCGCTTAGACGCTGTGCTTCCTGTGAGTTTTTCCTGTTAAATGATGCGAAACCATCTCCTTCTGCAGTCTCATCCAGGGACGAACGTGACCGTCATCGACCTGTTTGACAGGGGCGCGAGCCTGGAGCCCATGTGGAAACAGGTGGAGGGATTCAAGGCAGCTATCTACCCAATAATGCAAAACGCAGCAGATGGGGTCCACTTTATCTGCTACTCTCAAGGTGAGCGAGTGCAAATTGCAGTTATGTGTCCATGGTTTCTCTGGCAATCTCGCTGAGGGAGATATCAGAGCGACACTATTAGCTGTGAAGGTTTATTTTCAGGAAGAGTGTTTAATGATCTGTTTGCTTTAGGATTTCTGCTTCAGTCAGCTGCTGGAAATTCCTACCACGCAACGCCATATTGTATTTCAATGTAAATTTTCCCCCCGAGGAACAAGTAATGCAAACAAGATTCTCTTCACTCAGCATGTTTCTGTGAAAAGAGAGCACACCAAAAAGAAAAAAACATGGACTTACTCTGTGTGCTTCTTGATAAAATAGTTTGTCTTTATGAGAAAAGCATTATCTTGATTGTGGAATGTTTACTTGTCACCGTCGCATGAGTGGCTCAGTGGTGTAGTGGTTTACACATTCGATCCTGGGAGGAGACGCGCATTTCTTTGGGATTGTGTAAGGAAAAGTGTCTCAAACATGTGGGCCTACCTGCTGTGACGAGCCAAAAGTAGCTTCTACACCTCGTTCGAGTATTTCAGAACTTGAGCATCTTTGTGAGAGGAAATGACAAAATGACACAAAGTCTTAGCGCCACACTGACTAATGTACTGCTAGCTCGAGTTTGAATTTCACTCTACAGTACAATGAGATGCATGTCAGGTTAACTGGTGAGTCAAAATAGCCCATAGGTGTGAATATGGGTGTGAATGGTTGTGCAACCTGCCCTGGGCGAGCCCCCTCCGTGTCTGAATAGGATAAGCCAATCCACGCTCATTAAAACTAATTGACGCTAGAAATAACACGCATAACCTGGTGGACTAACTGGGAAGACGGGTTCTCCAGACTTCAACCGAAACACATCCACCAAGACAATTGAGCCTAATCAGATGTTCACTGAGAAATCACAGACGATGGAAAAAACTCCTGGCTGGTGGCAAATGGAGGATCGGGATAGGAGATCAGATCTTTAAAGAATCTCTGGACACCAGACGGAGTTTCACTGGTAGAAGCTCTGTCTGGTTAACCACAATGTTAAGATTTGTGTCAGAAAAATGTGATTATTGGATTTTATTGGTGAGACGGGTTCTAAATCCAAACTGTGCAATGCGTTGAATATTTCAAATAAACCGGTTGCGAAAACAAAAACTGTGGACAGGAGTAAAACCTGATATCACACAAGATTTCACCCCAAGAACGGAAAAATCAAAAAGCTCAACTTCAAACTTTATTTATTAACTAAATTATTAATATTGATTTATTTTCAATTTTCACATTTCTACAGAGGAAAAGCTGCTCTTCATCAGACCAGTGAAGAGTTAATTTATTTCTGCCTGTGTTCAGACAGCAGCACCTTATTATTGCTTTGTGCTACTGCGATGCACCAAATATCCCTGTAAAACCATCTCCTCTTCTTTCTGAAACTGTTTAAATTTTGACTCTAGCACAAATGGTCACAACATTCAAGTTAGCTTAAATAAAGTCCTCAAAAGGAGCTTATGTAAACATATTTAAACTAAAATTCTAAATAAAGTACAGAACCTGATGCAAAAAGCTGACTGTAACACAATAGAGTGTCTCTATAAAGTAAAATGGCTCAATAAATTCAACAAAGTGAAATAAAACAGACTAAAAATAACTAAAAATAATAAAGGTGTTGTTAGAATTTAAAACGTCACAATGATACAAGGTTAAAACATGTGTTAATACGAGAGAACAGATGTTTCTCTGCTAAACAGATGTGTTGATTTGCAAAGAGATTTTGACTTCCTGATTTGAATTAGCCTGTCAAAAAAAATTGAGGTGGGTTGCTAACTCTCTTCAGGTTTGTTTGACGAATTAATGATCAAAAATGGAGTTTGCAATCAAAATAACTGGATATAAGACCTTTGAGCACTGGGAAATTGACATACGCACAGTCAGCTGACCAGTTATTTGTCTGTCACTGCTCTGTGAGGCACTTTTTTATCTAAGTGGGTTATATAACATTCAATGAGAAGGTTGGAAGGTGGACTTGCTCTCTGAAAAGCTACACAAACATGTGTCTTTATTGATGTTCTTACAGGCGGTCTGGTTTGCAGAGGGATCCTCTCCACTCTGTCTGACCACAACGTCCACTCCTTCATCTCCCTGTCCTCACCTCAAGCCGGGCAGTACGGAGGTGGGTCCAACATGGAGAGCTTAGTTCAGCAGCGTGTTTTAAATGCAATCAGTATTTCTCTGTTGAGAATCTACTAATACCCTGTTAGTGAACCAGTGTCAATATCTGACAGCTGTAAAATGAAAACTCTCATGATCTCACGATGAGAAGCTGCCTGATAATTATCAGCAAAATCGTAAATTAGGGTGTAAAAACCCAACAATGAGTTAGTAAGACTGATGTTGTTGGACCTGTTTTTATAAGTTATTGTTTTTTTTAAGAGAATTTTAGCTCAAAGCCTTACTGCTTCATATCACTCTTGCTGCTCTGGTGACAAGCCAGAGCTCGCAGCTATTTCCAGCATCAGTCAGCAGACTGACACAGTTAGCAGAAAGCTGTGAAGCAATGTGAAGAGAAAGACTGCAGAAATACTTTATCGTGCTGTGGACTGATTTATTCTCTGACTTGGTCATCATTCTCGCTCCTCTTTCTTTCCCCTCAGACACAGACTACTTAAAGTACCTCTTCCCTCAGTTTGTGAAGTCAAACCTCTACCACTTGTGTTACACCGCATTAGGTCAGATGATATCCATCTGCAACTATTGGAATGGTGAGACTCCAGGATTACTTTTTTCTCACAGATTTTGAAGTCGTCAAATTTCTTTTTTTTCCTGCCTTTTCGGACTTTAAAATCATAAACGAGCAGTTTGATATTGTGTTTGCTTTTCACCTGTCTGCAGACCCCCACCACAGAGACCTCTATGTCAACAGCAGTGATTATCTGGCTTTGCTCAACAGTGAGAGACCCAACCCAAATTCAACAGGTCAGAAAAAGAACAATCAACAACAACCCTTATCAAAAATTACTCAGTGTAACGAGTAATTACTTATATCAAAATGACTCAGATAAAGTGCACAGTAGCCATGAGGTGTGTTTTATTTGCCATCTGCAGAATGGAAGAAGAACTTCCTCAAAATCAAAAAGCTGGTACTGATTGGAGGACCGGACGATGGAGTCATCACGCCCTGGCAGTCGAGGTGACAGCATCCTCTGATTTTATTTCCCTGAAATCTCACACACATGGATATCTTTAAAAAGATTTTTGGACTTTGTGAAAGTTGCAACAAATGAATTTAGATCGAAATTTTACAAAAATAATATATTTAAACTCATTGTGGTGCTAAAATAATTAAAATAAGACTTTAGATCAAACAAGGCTGCATCATATTTTCTGCTTTAAAGGGATTTCAGTTTATTCTTTGTGGTCACAGCTGTCAATGACATCTTGCTTCGTGTAACTGTGGATGATCTGATGACTCTCATGTGATGCTAACACACTGCTTTCATGTCTTTACAGCCAGTTTGGATTTTATGACGACAACGAGACGGTTGTTGAAATGCAGCACCAAGATGTGAGTGAAAGTCAGAATACATTTTTTCATTTATTTCTATCTGTTTTTAGGTCATTTAATTCAATTCTAAATAAGTTATATAACACTAATTCACAATAACAGTCCTCTAAGGGCGCCCAACAATCAGACAATAAGCGAGCACTTGGCAACAGTGGGAAGGAAAAACTCCCTTTTAAGAGGAAGAAACTTTTGGTAAAATCAGGCTTAGGAACCGTGACCAGCTGGGATGAGGGGAAGAAGACAGGAGAAAGACATACTGTGGCAGAGATCTAATGATGAATAAATATATAAATTATAAAAAGGAGAAACCATGATTCTTACCAGAATAAATCATGAGAAACTAAAATGTTTTTCAGTTTAACACAAAAACAAAACAAAACAAAAAAAGATCTTTGTTCTGATGTCTTTGACACGTTAATGGGTTTGTCATAAAGCAGAGCCATCTTTTATCTATGTCTCATTTATGGAGGTGCTCCTCCCAGAGCAAGGCATGTGCTTTGTTTCTAAAGAATAGAAAAATACATGCACAACCCCACCAAAAATCTGAGGCGGTAGATTTATTAATGACTCCCTTGTGCTGTGTTTTCTTTTTCCAGCTGTACTTGAGAGATGTTTTCGGGCTGAAGACGCTGGCGGCTCGCGGAGATCTGATCCTCTGCTCTGTTCCCGGCGTTCAGCACATCTGGTGGCACTCCAACAAGACCGTGTTCCACACATGCATGGAGAAGTGGCTGGTGTAGCACAAAACCTCTTCACAGCACACACATGCAGACGGACACACAGAAAAACACACAAAAACGGTCGACCTCTACAGCCTCGGTTATAGTGTCTTCTGTAGGACATGAGCTGATATTTTGGGGGGATTACAGCTGTGAAAGATCATTTGGTGATGTCAGGATTTATTTTAAACCGTCTTTCATTTTCATCTTATTTAACATTTAAGGAGAAAGTTTAACATTAGGGGAAAAATTTTGTTACCTCTCTCTCTTTTATGTGTACAGTACATGTTAGGCTATACCAGAAGCAGGTTAGCTTAGCTTTGCACAAATAATGGAAATAAAGGGAAACATCTAGCCTGCTTGTGTGTGACAAGGACAAAACCAGCACTTTTAACTTCACTCACTAACTTGTTTATTTTATTTGTCTGAATAAAGTAAGTGTAAAATGACATTGGCAACTATTAGTGGCGACTACTAGTGGGCTAAGAAGGTACTGCAGGAAGGCTACAGTCATGATTGACAGATTGATAGATGGATACTTTGTTGATTTGTATTCAAATTTTGTTTTATAATAGCATAATAAAGAGTACAAAATAGTTCAGTCTGCAATAATTAAACAACATAGCTAAAGTAAAAGTGGTAAAAGTATCACAGGTGCCTACTGAGGACCTTATGCTGTGAGATTTCACACATAGACAGTGATTTAAAAAAAACAAAAAACAGAATACAAAATAAAAATGAGGTTAAGGAGAGTAGAAAGTATCACACTGCAGATTGCTTTAATAAATAATATGTACTCTATAAATGTAAGAAACATTTGGAGGAATGGTTAATCTGCAGATATTTCCTGGAGTCCAGCTACCAACATAATGTTGCCAGCATTTTAAAACCCCAAAAATATCACCATCACAATTAGATTTTTGGGTGCATTAACAAAAAAACATTTAACATGTTATTCAGTGGGCTTAAGAGTGCTGGTAGGCAGATTTAATGCAATTCATTAATTCATTTTTAATGATAACACAGATCCAGGCTAGTGGCTTTCAGCTGCTATGTTGAGCTAACGCTCTCCATTTATTCCCACTGATGTCACCTTTGCGAACAACGTGAGTCCGGCCCTCACCGTCATACGTAGATGGTATGAAAGATGTACGTTTCTAAGGTTGTTATAACTAAAACTAAACTAAAAATTAAAACTACATATTAATAAAATAAAATGAACTAAAACGAATTAAAAAAAATAGAGGACATGATGATGGACGGACATGTTTACTGAGACTGTGGATGTCTACATAGATTGAAACTAATAAAAACTAACATTTTTAAACAATAAAACCTTCAGAACTGAATTAATTTATCCAACCCTGGAGATACGTCCATGTTTTATACTGTCTGCGGTGTAGTTTCGGCTTGTCGTGCACGTCTTGTTCTTGTTTGGGTGGGTTGTATCAGTACAGGGATCAGGGATTTCCATACATCTTTTCAAACTGCTTGAAAGGATGAGATTTTCTGGAGAAACCTTTACCATAATCTAACCTGTAGCATTATCTCGACCAAGGCTTGATTCATAAAAGGGAAAAAAAGCACATTTCCCAAAATGTTACACTTCTCCTTCACGTATTTATTTTAAAAAACCCACATTGTTGCTTTTGGAGAAATCCAGCACATCGCTGCCTGTTTGCTGATGGCTGTCAGAAGGGGTTTTAGCTGCTTTTCTGACTTTAAAGGAGCACTCCAACAATTTTTCATTGTACCATTGCAAGGGACAAGAGTGCAAGCAGTCATCGTAGCAGAGGATTAAGGATATGTTGAATTTTATTTACAAGTGTGAGTCCAGTTTGTTGTTACGTTCTTCCTGCCTGTTTCATGGCAAACCTCCAGTTTTAATGCGGGCTTTGAGGTAAGTGAGCTGTAGTTGTCCAGCTGAGCTCACCAGTGTTGCTGTATCAGCAAAGTTGGCGGCATGCCCCTTTTTATTTGAATAAAAATATTAGTTTATCACTTTAAAAGCATGCAGTGTATCAGACAGTGTGCGTCTGCTCCATCAAACATACCTCAAAGCCGCCACACAAACACGACAGTGCCTGAGCGACGTTAAGTCGTCTACATGTTGAGACTTACTGCCCCGCTCGTCTCGCGTTGAGTCATTTATATGTTTTTCATTCCCCCATCTTTAACCCCGGTGTCTAATTCAGAGTGAGCCTCCGATCTTATCATCAGTTTATTGTAACTATCATGCAGTGCTTTGGAGCTTTACTCCATCGCTTTTGTAGATGAAGCCTTAATTTTTCCCCCCTACATGCCTCAGTATTTCATGCCCATTACCAAAGTGCTACAACACACTGCCTTTAGTGACGGTGCTAAAAACAATGATAGGGAGGGGTGGCATTGGGCATAATAAGACTAGAGAGTGGCTGTGATATGTTAGTGTTTACTGGTCCACCGAACCTCCCATCACATTTAGATATCTCAGGCCTTTTAGCAACCTTCATGTTCCTTCTTTTCTGTTGTTTAAGGGATTCATTTGTAATACTTTTAATTTATACTTGTCGTTCTTATATTTCTCAAAAGGACAAAAAGCGGAGCGTGTATTTGAAAGATAAAACAGAAAAGAAACTTAATGGTTAAGGATGAATTGCACATTGTAAAGAGAAGGGATGTTGTTGAGATAGGGATGGTTTTATCTGTGTTCAAGCTACTATGTTAATGTTATTGCATCTGTTGTTCATGTATGCTCGTGCAAAGCCAGAGCTGTTTCTACCGTGTTTGTGTTATAAATGAACAGGTGTCAAATGCTGTCAGGTCTTCAATAAAAGACGGTTTTGAGCATTGTTTGTGTTTGTGCTTTGTCCTGTCAGTTAACAACACACATAAATAAAGCCAAAACTGGTCTTGTGAACCAGATGATTTTTTTCTGTACATTTTGCTTCCAAGGACCCAGACTTTATTGTAATTTTTTAAAGGCTCTTGAACAATAGTTCTCCAGGCTTTCTGAAGGACTTGCAGAGTTTTTCTTTGGACATCGGCTGCTTTTTGACTCATTTGCAATCCAGTCCTTGTACCTGATCATTTCCAGATGAATGTTTTTGTTTGTTTTTTGTTAAGCTGCTTAATCCTGACCTGTGAGTTATTCAAGCACAAAAATGCGCAAAATTTACTGGATGAACCACTGTTATTCTCGCACATAACAGATGAGTCAGTAAAAAAAAAACAATTTAGATTTCTTTTGGGTTCAAATTGTTATCTGTATGGAGGTCAGGGGAGAGGTACTGCAATGAGTGTTTAAAGCAAAGTGTAAAGCCAGTGGAGGCTCTGTCATGGTCTCGGGCTGCTTTTCAGACAGTGGTATTGGGAATCTTGTCAAAATTGATTGAATATGAATACAGAACAGTATGGTCAAATTTTGATTGTCCATCTGATTGTCAAGAGCTTCATTTTTCAGCATGTCAATGATCCCCAAAAAAACTGCCAGTGCATTAAAAGCATACTTGTTAAAAAAAACAAAAAACAACAACAACACACACAGTGGAACATTATCAGTCATGGACTGGCCTCCCCAGAGTTTGGACCTCAACATTGAAACATTGTGGGATTCTCCTGACAGAAAACAAAGGCGTTGCTGCCTTTGTTTTCCAAAGAAGAGCCTTCAAAAAACCTGGAGAAATATTCCTGAAGACTACTTAAAGAAATGACAAGAAAGCTTGTCTAAAAGGGCTTCAGGCTGAGATGAAGAATAAAGGTGGTCATATCAAATACGGACTTTTCCAGTTTGTTAAGACTACAAAATGTATTTTTGCCTTACGTACACTCACTCACGCACACACACATACATACATATATATATATATATATATATAATTTGCCATTTTACTGAGCAAAATACAAAATATAAATGTAGTGATCACTAGCTGAAGAATATTCTAGAGTACACGACTGAATCAATCAAAATTAATTTAAAACATATTTTTAAACAGAAAAATAACTAAAACTAAATAATATTAAATATGATGTAATATAACTGCTTGTTTTTACAGCAATTGTGAAAGTTAAAAGGCCAGCAGCAGCTTTATTAATGTATAATGACATAAAAAAAAAAGACTACGTTTCCCATAAGCTTTTGTACGCCGGAAGCAGCCAAACGCCGGACCGGATATCTGTACACGGCGCCCCGAAAAGGCCCTTTTCCGTCTCAGAGAAGTGTGGTACAGAACGGCAGACACAAGTGAGTGAAAATTTTACTTTTTACTTGCTTCATAAATCGTGAAAAAGGGACGGACGCGTATCCAAAATCACTGTGGATTTCCATTGTCCTGGAAATTCGTACAGAAAACTTCAGTTTAGTCGAAATGGCGTTTTTATTCCCTCCGAATGTTTCCGTATCAGCACAACAGCGCTGAGCGTTAGCATGCGACTAGCTCTGTAGCACATGTGGATTCTGCACGTTGAGTAGCGGCTCCGATAGATGTCAAATTCAGGACACTAATTCACAAAATATGTCTATATTAAACTTAATTTCTTCCCTACTAATTAACTGATGCTGAATTTAAACGCGCACCTACGCCCGTTTATAGACGTTTGTAAGCTTAGAATCCGCTGTGGCGCAAGTTTGCTAGTGTTAGCGTGATGCAGGCTTCATCTCCGGCCTCGCTGTACTTGTGACTGTCATTGCTTCGCTAAATCTGACCAAACAGTTACTCAATCTCCTATTAATATGAATAAATGTGCTTCCTATTAAAGTGTCAAATCGTGGGGTTTTCTGCTTTTTGCTGGAAAGCTAACGTCACTTTGTTTGAACGTAACATTGAGTAGCAGCTCAGTCAAGCTACAGTAGTTTTCATTCATTATACACAAATTCGTTAAATAAAGTTCCATTTATAAGACTTATGTCACATAGAAATGTAATAGAGAGGCCACAGATTTGCAGTAAGGTCCACCTTCACAAACCCAAACTCTTACGTGTAAATGTTGGGGGGGGGAAAAGACATATTTGTCATTTATAGTCCTGAAATTATAATTTTTAAAACAATGTGCCAGTAATGTTGTGGTGTTTCCTCAGTGACCGATTGGGAGACTGCCCCCGCTGTGGCTGAGACCCCAGAGATCAAGCTCTTCGGCAAGTGGAGCACCGATGATGTCCAGATCAACGACATCTCCCTGCAGGTGAGCGGCAGTGTGAAAGATTCACTGTTGTGCTGTTAAGCGAGGCTAGAGTCACGCCTGGACACTCACCTGTTGTCCAGGTGTGCTACAGTGCTCGCAGAGGAAAAGTCTTTGCTTATTCATTGGCTGTAGTCTAATGTGGCCCAGTCAATCACCGGCTCAGACACAATATCTGCCTTTAACGATGCTGTTTTTCAACTTAAAACAGAAAATGATGCTTAAAGATGTCATTCTTCGCTGCAGGATTATATTGCTGTGAAAGAGAAGTACGCCAAGTACCTGCCACACTCTGGAGGACGTTATGCCGCCAAGCGTTTCCGCAAGGCTCAGTGCCCCATCGTGGAGCGTCTGACCAACTCCATGATGATGCACGGCCGCAACAACGGCAAGAAGCTGATGACCGTTCGCATTGTCAAGCACGCCTTCGAGATCATCCACCTGCTGACTGGAGAGGTACTTTCATAGCACTGCTATAGTATGTGTCACTGTTAAAGAGATTCTTAATTATAACTACAGAAAATAAATGGTTCCTTATGCGATGAAAAACACTATTGAAAATTACAGAGAACAGGATCTTACTGTGGTATGAGCAGTTTTCAATAATAACTAAAATATAAATAACTTAATTTAGACACGGCGTGCTGAGAAAATGTTTCAAATTTGAATTCCATCTGGGTTTTAAGACAGTATTTCAGCATTGAAAACATTTTTTTTAGACAGTTGCTGGATTGTTTATTATTTTTAGTGAGTTTTGCAGTGGTTGTTGCCAAGCAGACAAGGGTCCAGAATTAATCTGCATATTTAAGGGTAAATGTGATATTGGCTTTAAACTTTGAGTAAGAAAATTGGGAGCAAACACAAGGATTAACAGCAGATTGTGTCAGCTTTCAGATGGTGTCCAGACTAATGGATCTCTGTCACTACATGTTATGGATTGATTTTAAAAAAATTATCTTCTTAACCTCTTTGTTCCCAGAACCCCCTGCAGGTCCTGGTCAATGCCATCATCAACAGTGGACCCCGTGAGGACTCCACCCGTATTGGTCGTGCTGGTACCGTCAGGAGGCAGGCTGTTGACGTGTCACCCCTCCGCAGAGTCAACCAGGTAACAAACGCACAATTTTTTTTCTACCTCCACGTAATTGTTGATGTCTAATCATGTGACTAGATGACTTTAATGCATCTTTTAGGACATGTAAAGTTTGATGCATGTTCAGTTTTTTTCCTGGTTTGCACATGACCTTTATTACTGTCAGGTCTGCATACAAGAGTGGTTCTCAAGCGGAAAGATCAAAACAGAAAATATGAAGCGAAGCTAAACTGAGAAGTTCAGTTTGGCTTCACTTAGCTGAACATTTTAACCCCTCCTATTAGTGATCGTTAGAAATTGCGAGGTTCAGTCTTTTCTCACCTTGTTGGGCATATAGAATACAGTAAAGGCAGTTAGTCTCTTAGATTGTGGCAGTCTTATTTTTAACAATTTCATTAATAGCCTCTCCAGTGTAAGTAAATAAATACTTGATTATCATCAGTGCCAGTGTCCTTCTGTCAAAAAGGACAGAAGTACCAAAAAAATGCTTCCATGCTGAAAAACCTCTTTGTCCAACACCATCTTCAACAGTTTTAGCATGAAAATAAATTAGAAAAGGTTCACTGTTTTTTCATGTATTTGATGTGTTAAACGAGGCTAGAGTCACGCCTGGACATTTTCTGTTGTCTTGGTGTGCTAGAGTGCTCGTAGATTAAAAGTCTTTGCTTATTCATTGGCTGTAGTCTGTCGTGGCCCAGCCAATCACCAACTCAGATACATTTCACTGCTGGCCTGTGGTCATGTCTCTGGAGTTTAACCCGTTTCACCTCACTAACGTGTGCTCCGTCTCGTCTTGCAGGCCATCTGGCTGCTGTGCACGGGAGCAAGAGAAGCTGCTTTCAGGAACATCAAGACCATCGCTGAGTGCCTGGCTGATGAGCTGATCAATGCAGCTAAGGTAACAGACTTAGTGGACTCTGATTACATCCTGCCAATTATGTTGGAACCTTTTTAGTGATCAGAGCTGACACATATGAGAAACTGTTGTGAGGCGTGTTAAACTTAAGTTTCTCTCTCTTTGCAGGGTTCATCTAACTCTTATGCCATCAAGAAGAAGGACGAGTTGGAGAGAGTTGCCAAGTCCAACCGTTAAACATGTTCACTTTCTAACAAAACAAATAAATCAAGCAATTTCTGTTGAGTTTGAGTGTTTTATTGGACATCACATACACAAGCCTTTGATTCTGTGATGGAAAGCTGGAGTTCTGAGTTAAACTACAAGGTAAAATTATCTTATTGGTTAGTGCTGTGACAACTTTTCCCTTAATCAAGCTGTAATATTTTTAATTTTGGATGGGTGGCACTGCTGATAGCTACTGTTTTACTGGCTCAAAAGTACTGTTCAGTTATAGTGGCACAGTTGGTCAGCACTGTAGCCTCCCCAAAAGGTGCCAGATTTGATACCATTGATTAGCTGGTGTCTTTCAATGCATGCGTTTGTTTTCTGCAAGTCTCCCATAATTGGTCCTAGGTGTGAATGTGGGGTTGCACGTCTGTACTCTCCCTGCGATAGACTGGTGATCAATCCAAGGTTTCGCTAACAGCTGGGATAGGCTGCTGCCCCACTGAGATTCTGAATTGGACAAGTAGAAAATAAATGAAAAGACTGGATTTACATTTATTTTAGCCGGATGTACCTAAAGAACTGGCAGTTGAATTACACAGGAATAAAAGTATCACTAAAAGTTAGAAGCTGGATTTTAATATTTCTACACTTGGGACAAATTCATACACTGCAAAGCTAAATCAAATCTGAATCATCACCTAGCAGCTACAGATGGTCTGCAATTTAAAAACAGTTAATACCCAAGTACTGAAATGTGGATATGAAAGCTGTACACTGTAGTAAATGTGGGCACCAAGTCTTAGGTTAGCCAAGAAAACATTTAAAGGGGACTATCACAAGCAGTAATGTTAAGAGACATCAGATTTCTGGAAAGCAGACGTAATGCCCCTTTACTGGATCTAGATTACATCAATTTGGTGAGAAAAGTTAAAAAAATGTTGGGCTGATTGTTGCCTTTGGCTTTTCCTTCACACTTTGGTCTAAAAACGTAATGAACATCTGCATATATACAGAATGAAACTTGCAGTGAAGACTCTTTCCTGTGGGGTTACTGTTTTACTTTGGTGAACTGTGAAAGAGTTGGAACAGTGCAAAACTACAGCTTCATCTAGTGGTTTCATGAGTAGATTTAAGGACATTGTGCAGCGCTGTTCGTTCAGCAGAGGGGGTAGTGGTGCAGTAAATTAGGTGGCTGGTTCTGTCTCAAAATACTGCACATTAGTATCACTACCCCCACCACTGCGAACACCTGCAGATAAATGCTGAGTGGCGTGGGCGTGTTTTCAGAAATATGTATGCTTTCTGTTGACAAGGAGGCAGAATGAGGACAGAGACGCTCCCAGCTTGGAGGCCTCGCTGCAGGCTGTCGGCAGGAGGGTGTAGTCCTGCAGCTTCTGGAAGGCCTGCAGAGAGAGAGGAAACAGTTCAGTCATTCAGACCTGAGCTAGTTGTTACAGACTACACTGCAGGGAAAACTGAAAGGAAAGGAGGAAGGAAAATTTGCTTCACTGGCTGGAAGTTAGAACACCAGATCTGACTCATGAGTGTCAGCGATTAAGAGTCTTAGATCTACATGACAGTTTTGATGTTTCCCTTTTCTTTAGAGACCAAAAGTCTAAAAAAAAAATTAAAAAGCAACTTCAATTTTGTTACATTTCTAATGGTAATGTTGATTTATCAAACTCATCTAATGATTTATTGCCACGCTAGCGTTATTTTCCATTTCCCCCCTGATGAGTTTCCACGTTGTCTGGATAACATTCACATTTCTTGATGTGATTTGTACAGTGTACAATTCCAGCAGCATGTGACCTGATGCTGCTTACAAATTTACCTGTTACACTTGATGCAAGTGGAACTTTTTTGTAGGCCTGTGCAGAACCAGCACATGCATCTCTCCTGGTCAAGCTGATGGCAGCAGTGACAGCTGATGAACTGACCCCTCAGCCAAGCTGCATGCTCATCTTCAGCTGTGAAAGCAGCCAGGTGCATATACACACTAACAAGTGACATCATTTCAGGACAATATGACTTGGCCCGGTTGCACAGTGTTCTACTGAAAACAATTAGTGATTCCAATAAAACACCAGCCATCACAAAAATGCACAGATGTGCATCTCAGATTAAATTGAAGGTTGTGGGAGTGTTCTTTAAGAATGAAGCTGTTTTTTAATCTGGTGTACAAAGATAATAATCTACAAAGATTGTGTGATCCTATTATAAGATGGTTGTATGGGTGGGTTGGTGGACAATATTGGACATTGTGAAATTTTTTAAATGCAAAATACTGACTTGAGGGCAAACTGCTTGAAGGGAAATCATGCAAAAAACAAGTTATCAGTCTTTAAAGGAATTTGTTGCTTTTTCTTTGTGAAGTTTATCTCATTGTGAAAAATCAAAGTTTCCAAATGTTCAAATTAACTCCTCTAATTGTAAGTTCGGTTTTAAATCTCGCCTGATATAATTTTTAGCAGTGGCGCACACACAGTTTCACAAAATACAATCATTATTTTACTTCTGATTTATTTAATTTGCCTCAATCCTGAAACAAACTACAGAAGTATCTGAAAATGCTGATTTATTCTCACTATGCTGGACTCAGCTTCTGTCCTGCCACCTACTTACATATTTAACGGGTCAGAGACGGCACCGTGAGCGGGATATCGACTTCACTAGTCTCAAAAACATTTCAGCTCTTGGAACCACAAGCACAACTGTGACCTTCAACTGCAATGTAACGAGTAAAGAAATGTGAAAAAAAGAAATCTGTTCACATCCCAGATCTTCTTTAGAGAACCTTTTTTGTCTAATGATCAGTTTAGAGCGAGTCAGTCACATTTAGGTCTGATTTAGGATTAACAGAGGTACTTGACTTCCAGGTGGTGAAGCAGCACAAGACACAGAGGTAACATCTGAATTACAGATGCATTAGGCCTTAAAAGGGATAATCACTAATAACAGACAGATTTATAAATCATAAAAGCACTTAGGTTTAAAACACAGGACCAATCACACAAAGGACCGGATGCACAGGGTTTATTACAAAAAACAAAACAAACAACACGAGCTGAGCAGATATCAAATTTCTTATAGGAGCCTGATGGTTGATTTTGATGTGTGATACAATGCATCTGTAGATCCTCTATTATATTGTTGATGCAGTGTGGCTTTGATGTTAATGCTGTTGCATTTCTTTTTATATTTAGATAAAACTAATAAAAAGCTTTGATCACACCAAAGAAGAAGCCATGTATTTCTGTGGTGCAGCGCAAACACATGTGAATCTGCAGCAATACTAGTTATAAATATTTGATCTTGGGCGGTAAGTTTACTTCACTCCGTCTTGAAAGAAGCTGAGATTCTCCCACAGACTTATCAGAAACACACAAGCTAATGACTGCTGTTTAAAGGGAACTGGAGCTGATGACCTAGCTTCTTTTATGTGGAGACGGTGGAAAAAAGGAGGGCTAACATCTGAAAACCTGAGTCCAGCTATCATTTGTACTCCTCCCGATGGAAGCTGTTAGCAAATATTTGTGGGTTTATGCAAGCACTCACGCGACCGAGTAAAGCACCGTGAGACCTTAAAGCTCACACTGACAGTATTTAAAGCTGTTGGATGAGCATGCATGCTTATGATTACTGAACATATGATTCAGTGTTTATGTAGCCTAATTAATACAACAAGGAGATAAGAGCCAGAAAAACTGCCAGAGAAGAAGAAAAAAAAAATCTGTCAAACTATAACATAATGAAAATAGCAAATTACAGGAAAACTTATTTATTGCTATTAGCACATACATGAACATGACATTATACTGCAATAATGTGCAGTTTATTTAAAAAAAAAAAAAAAGAAGAAAAAACCCTGTGTGGTACTCACAGAAACGCTGTCAGGGCATTCGTCTGCTGGTCGGTGCAGCAGGAAGTCCCGTTTGGACAGACCTTTGATGTAAATGCAGTTTGCTGCCAACTCCTCTGGGACGGTGAGCACATCGTAGTGGTGATCAGTCAGCTGTTCCATCATCTGCAGACAAACACACACATCCAGCATTACACACAGTCGCCGAGCTCCAAGCCAGCACTAATGACATAAACAGATGTGTGCAGTTCAAGTGAGGATGGAGAGATTATATATTTATGACTCATAATGAAAAACAGTATTGACCATAGAGAGATGTTGGGCCCTGCCTAGCACAATGCTTTAAAATCCTTGTCTTAAAAAAGGTTCATTTTAAATGTTGTCATTTCTCTCTTTACATTTCAATAAACTAACTGAAAATCAGCACAAAGGCTTGATCATCACGATGCTTAATACAAAGTCACCAAAAAAATTAACTAAAGAACCCTTTTCATCAAGTCATGTAATCTTCTGGGATATTAATCTGGTCAAAGTAGATGAAGAGTTTGTTAATCAGTTCCAGCTGCTGTTGTTAATGTAATTAACATAAGGTGCACTAGTCAGGCAACAACGACTAGTGCACCTAAACATGAAGGATGGTCACTCATTTCTTTTCCACTAGTTCTCATCTGGCTAAAGTCAGTGTCACTGAGTTCATGAGGGTGGCATGAGGGCCCAGCATGCTTTACTTGGGCCCTGCCTGGCACTCTGGAGAATGGGCAGGTTCACCCCGAGTACATGTGACAGACATCAAAGGGTCTGGAAAAGATGTGGAGAGCATTCTGCGGCCTGTAACATCATTCAGCATGACTGCTTTCATAGTTGGCCAGGGACTAACAAAAAGGGAGGGATGCACAGACCGGCTGGCAATGGCACTGACTGCCATCAGGTACCAGGATGAAACCCTTGGAAACACTGTCAGACTACGCTGGTGCAATGGGTCCTGGGTTCCTCCTGGTGCACGATAACGCCCAGCCTCATGTAGCGAGAGTGTGCAGAAAGTTCTTGGAGGAGGAAGGAATTGATATCATGCTTGCACTGAGCCTAATCCAACAGGACACCTCTGGGACATTATGTTTGGGCCTGATGCTGCCAGGTTGCACCTCAGACTTCACCAGGAGCTCAGTGATGCCCTAGGAGGAGATCCTCCAGGACACCATCCATTGTTTCATTAGAAAGCTTACCCGACCTTGTCTGGCCATACTAACTACTGAGTACCATTTTGAGTTGGTATGAAATTATTTCAAAATAGACTAGCTAGCTGCATAATTTTTTCACTTTGACTTTATTTTTTGTTGGCATAATTTCATTCCAACACATTGCCCAATCCATATCGATCTGGCATGACGCCCCGCAGGTGAGATCTAATGTGCTTTCAAAATGTGACTAATTTTTTTAAGTGGTGCATTTACAATTAAAGTTGAAAATGGCAGCTCTAATTTACATCAACCTCTCAGTGTTTTAGGGACACGAGTCATAACGGCATAAACTGATGTGTCAAGTAATTTTTAGCTGTTTTGGTCATTACTGAGGTCAAATTTATTATTGTTTATTATGATTTCTCACAGACTTCTTCCTTGATTAGGTGGAAAGCCATCCTTATCATGTATAGCATCTTGCAGTGCCGTTCATTGCCCCTTGGATTTCTTTTCAAAGGTGCAGCTGTCGCAGAGGATTGTGGGTCATTGCTGCTACCAATGTGGCTGGATATAGCAATACATCCAGGTGTTTGTAATCACACTAAATAGTATCATGACGTGGAACCATCCTTTGTTTTCTGACTAAACGTAGTGCCAGGATAAGGGATTTCCAGCTACTGAGACTGATCACCCCTCATATACAGCCGCACAAGCTGTTGCTCACAGCCATTTCTGTTCCTTTTAGGCAGAGCCTCCAACTTGTTTGTTATAAGGTCTCCAGCACAGGCACACAGACATGCTAAATGGAAAGCTATGTAGCCTGTGTAAACAAACTGGCATGAATAGATGAATGTGCAGGGTCAGCTGGCAGGCTGTCACACCTGGATTTCTATAACACAGTCAGCAAATGGACAAAAACAAAACTTTAATGATTGAAGTTAAATATTATGCTCACTTCCAGCTCCATATTTTTATTCTGTTGTTGTTGTTGTTGTTATTGTGTGTTCAGAATAATCCCTTTTCATCTAATTTTGGACTTTTAATACGGTCTTGAGTTAATCCAAATAAGCAGGCAAAAATCCTATTTTCATAAAAGCTACAGGGAGTGTTTTCTCCTTGGTATGCGCTTTTCCCTCAATTGCTACAATGCCACAATATTATTAAGGAATTACCCTTTGGGAAACAACACACACATACATACCCGGAGTGTCTTCTTGGCCCCATCACTGTTGCTGAAGATGATGGTGTTTGGGCCTCCCATGGAGCAGATGTTTTTCAGTCGGGCTCCATCACAGACGGGGACAGTCGACACGGCAAAGTCCTGAACACATGTGGGGGTGAACGGTTACCAAGCATACTGGAAACTTCTAGAAGTTTCCAAGCAGGTTTGTTTTGTCATCACAGGTGTAACTAATAACATTAAGATTGGCTTTTCACACATCCCAGTAACTGATGCCTCGACTCCAATCGACTCCTAACTTACTCTCACACTATAAAGTGGTTCCATCTCTGCTCTACACACTGTATATGTAAGGGTGATATTTATGAACGAAAGTTAAATGGAGCCAGAGTGACTCCTCTGAAACACAACACTGATGAAATCATCTCCTGGTTTTCCCCAGTCCCCCAGTCGAACACTTAAACCCTCTCATCCGCTGACACCATTTCACACCACACCCCCACACTCCCACACCCAAGGGAAGAGCGAAGAGCAAATTCAACTCCAAAATATGCAAAATATGTGTGCGTGTCAAACAGAAGTGCATCTATAGTTCTTGAAAAGAGTCAATACTAATGAGCAGCTTGAGCCCAGCCCGAGTGAGCACGCTGTGCTGTGCAGCATTGTGATTATTTGGGCAGTGGAACAACCTCATTCATCAGTGTTTATACACAAGAATTCCCCAAATGCAATTCAGCAAATGGCCACCTGCTCACATTGGCACCTGGGTTTCATATCCGACTGTAATCTTGGCACCGAGGCAATCTTTGTTGTGCAGGCTAAAAATATAAACTCTATATTTTAGTTAGTTGTGTATTGATAATCCTTAGCTGGGCTTTTATGGAGATACACAGACATACAGCGGTCCATACTAAGACACTTTTACTGTAAGGCAAAGATAATAAGATGTAGCAGTTGTATATAAACGCATCAGGATAAAAAAATAAATTAAAAAAAAGGGAGTGAAGAAAACATGCTCAGTGCATCATGAGAATTTCCCCCAGCAGCCTGAGCTATAGCAACATAACCCGAGGATTTGATCTAGGCCTAACTATAAGCTTTATTAACAAAGGAAAGTTTTCATCTTAAAAGTAGAGACAGCGTCTGAATGCCTGTAGGTTTGTGAACCAAAGGCAGAGAGGACTCAACCTTTAAAGTTTCTCTGATGTATGGCTTCCCTCTATATGCATTTTTCCTTTTTATACCTAAAAATCAATCCCACTACGCTATGTGGAAGGATCCCTCAGCTTGAGCTGTAATCATGGATGCACAGGTATTATTTACCTTTAGTGTATAAAAGAGGCATGACACACCTGGATTATCTAATCTCTGGTGAAGACCCTACACTAAAGTCTTCCTTTGCATTTTTAAGTTTCACATACTTTAATTAACTGCTCTTCAGTTTGAGTGAATTAACAAAGAAGCCAGGGCTAAATCCTCCAGTACTGTGCCACACACTGAATTTAATTACAAGTAGCCCTAAATAGAAAAGCTGTCATAAACATTAAAGTTCAAATGACATCTGACATGATAAACTACAGCAGCGGGCTGCAACAAAACACTCGATGGATGATGCAGCTGTGCCACGTGTCAAAATGTGTTGACTGACATCCCTCTTAAAAAGACGACTCTGAGGCAAAAATGTCAGATTCTGTTAAAAGCATGCCGCCCTGACTCCTCAAATCAGAGACAGACATGTGCCTTCACGACAGGCAGCCCCAAACTAGGGATAGTTTGAAAAAGCTTCCTCCTGCTCACTGTACCCTCTTCCCTCTATAGCCCTTACCCTGAAGGTGTCTGCCAGAACCTCCGCCCCTCTGCGGTTGGTGTGGGAGGAGATGCCGACAAAGAACTCCCTCCCCGTGAAGAGGATGTCGCTGCCCTCCAGCGTGGCACCTACAGAGTCGCCCTGCTCTCCGTCCATCTCCACCACAGTCAGGTTGAGCTCCGACATCACCCTCCTCACCGCCTCCACCTGAGGGAGGAATAAACTAGACTCAGTACGAGAGTTGGAAGAAAGCAGCTCAGGCAGGTGGTCTCCGTGTAACATCATCAGTTCTGTGTTTCACTGGCAATTAATATTTGCAATAAGAAGCTACAATAATTAAAAAAACAAAAACAAAAAAAACCAGACTGTCAGCTGAGCATTTTAAAATGTGCTTAAAAACAACAACTGTCTAATAAAAGAACATTTGCGTATAAATCCAGCTGTTGTATAATTTAGTCATTCATTTACATTCTGATTATTTACTGTTCAACTTTAAAGATTTCTTTCAAACAGCTGAGCTGGTTTCCCTCCTCTTGTTAATCCAGGTCTCTCTTCCTGCCATCTTAGAATAAGTGGAACTGAAACTGTTGGAGTAAGCAGTGAAACCGTTGCAAAACCAGATTTCTGAAAAATCATTTAAATAATTCTCGATCAGTTATCTCGGGCTTTTTTTTTATCATTTGTGGAAGCCACAATTGTAAATAAAAACTACATTTAGATTAACTGTGCAACAGAACAACTCTCTTATCATGTTATGGTGACACATTTTGCAATACGCGCGACACTGCAAAACAACGGGGTTCCAGCAGTAGAACATCTGGGATGTGTTTGAGTGTCTACCAATGAAAAGGTTGTGGGATCGATCCCCGGCTCCTCCAGACCGCTTGCTGAAGCATCCTTGGCCAAGATACTGAACCCCAAGTTGCCTCCAATGCATTCACTCGGGCGCGAGTGTGTGAGAATGTTAGAAAGAGCTTATGCTTAGATAAAAGTGCTGTATTAATGTGTCTGTCTGGGTGAATGAGACTTACAGAAGAAAGTGCATTGAGTGCTCAATGAGTAAAAAGGCGCCATATAAGTAAAAGTCCATTTACAACCAGATAATACATTATAATATCTGGAACTAAAGAAGAAAAATACTTCCAAAAAGGAACTGTGCATTTACTGTCACCCAAAGGGTCTGGGTGTTTATCTATTAATTTATTTTAATTAATCAGCTCTTTGATTTGCTTCCTGGCTTTTGATTCATTTTCTGTCCGAGCCATGTTAAGTTCCACTCTAAGAAACATGTTAAGAAAACATTAGGACATTAAAAAAAAAAAACTGTAAAATGGTGTCAACACTTATTAACTGGACAGGAACCATTTGAACCGCATCACTGTTGAGAAGTTTCTTTCCCTAAAGCTTTTTCCAGCAAACCTCCAAGTAGTTTAGGAAAACTACAAACTCTCTCTTAACATTTTTCTTAAAGTTGCATTTTTAAGTCAGTCATAAAATAACATTTTGTTTATCAAACAGCCAAAAATAATAGCCGATGAATGGACTCGTAGCCAGGAAAAACCCTGAGATCTAACTACAGAAGTATAACTGGAACTTTGGACACTCCCAATAAGTCTGCCAGCATCTAAAACACCAAAAAGAAAACCAGTATCAATCAACCAATATCACTGTTGCTTAGAAACATTGTTTTCAGGAGTCTAGGGGGGATATGTCTGAAAGGCCAATGATCATAGCAACAAGGAACAACAAAGATCAGTGAGACCATGTTACAAACAGCCCATACTATGTTTGTCAAGTTCATTTTTATACCGTACTCATACAAACCATTACCCAATACTACATAGAAGATTAAGTGCACTCTGAAAGGCTTTTTCTATGCTGCATTACCTCGCTTTGTCTCTGCTCTTTGAAGGGCCTGGTGATGAGCGCCGTGTCTCCCTGGATGACAGCCACATCCTCTATCTTCCAGCTTTCTGGCAGCTCGGGGTCAGGGGGGATCTCGATCAGCTGCAGGCCCACCTTCTGCCTCAACGCTCCAGTCAGGCAACCGAACTGACGCTGAGCTTTGGCCAGGTCCACCGAAACCTCCCCGTTCTCCTGGCTGTCCCCTGCTTTCTTTCCAAAGGTCTCTGGAATGCCCCTCACCACGGCGTGGGTGAAATGGCCATAAGGGCACATGTTTGCCATGGTTTCAATAATGTGGTAGCAAATATTGGGGCTGTGCCAAAAATCTCACTAAGCTGGCTCTGCCAGGAGAGGAACAAGAGGCAATAAAAGGATGTGAACGTTTATGTGTTTCTGGTCTCCTCTCTTGCAGTCTCGGTATTATTAAGACGCTGGAGGAAAAATGCTCTAAACTAAGCTAAGCTTGTGAAGAAGTAGATCCAGGAAGAGAATGGGAAGCATCTTCAGCCTGGTCTTTGCCTCTTCTTTAATTAGGGACTTCACCATCTATTATCCCAAACATGGGAAGCAAATACTACCAGCCTAAGAAAGAAAAAGATGGATACATCAAGGCAAGAACAAACAAAAATATCAATTTCTATAAAACATTAGAGGGTCACATCCCTGCCTACATGCTTTCATTGGCACTGGACTAAAGTGAAATATAGTCCTAAAAATCTGTAATTTATTTACTCTGTAGGGGAATAAAAAAAAATTGTTTATCCCCCATTAAAACATCCAAGGACAGCTGAAATAATACACAGACAAAGAGCACGGCTGAAAGGAGACAAAGGAGCTTTGTTCAAGGTCAGATTATAAGGAATCATTATTCAATAGCCCTCCAATATGCTGCAAAGCCTCTTCATATCTGGCCAGTGGGTTAGATTTGGGACAATTGCCCTTTTATCATCTTCCCTGTAACTGGCAGGAGTCACCCACGGTGAGCTGCACACAGGATGTTTCTTAAATCTGCTTCATAACTTATGCAACAAGTGCTGGGCTTTGATGTTCACTTGACTTTGTTTTAAAAGGCTGCAGCACATGGAGAATATTAATGGATACTTGAACACCGAATATTTACAAACTACATTATAATCACTACTTATATGTTGAATTTTTCTACCTCGTATAGCTTTTGTTTGAGTTTTACCAGCTGTATTAACCAGTACAAACTTCAACCACAAGCAGAACAAAACATCCTGAGGCTGTGGGGCTGCAGGAGTGCACCGCCCCAGCAACTCAACTCTCTTCCAAAATACTTTTCATGATGTTCCCCATCTTTCTTAAATCGGCAAAATAACAGCAACACCCTCACCCCGAGTCGCACAAATAACAAACAGAGCTCTACACTTAGGCCTGCTCACCTGTTTTAGGTCCCGGGTATCCGCTTTCGTCGCCGTTTTCCCTCTATTTTAATTTAATTTCCAAAGCAGCCGAGTTCCCGTTACTCTCCAGCTCCTTTCTCTCTGCCGAATGGCTATCGCGTCAAGACGGCGAACGTGAATTGGCATGTTTCCGGTGGCAAATTTCAAAATAAGACAGCATTGGTTTACATGAACTGTGTCGCGTCGTTTGTACCATATTGCAACTGCTATACAAAAAATAGCGCGCGATAAAATAGCGCGCGATAGTGTGTATACACTATGTATACACTGTAACTGAAAAAAATAATAATTTGCCAACGGTCGTGCTCATAGTTTTTAACGCCACCCCCAAGGAACTTCCGGTCTTATTTTCGACCATTGACGCTCACTTCCCCCACCACCTCCCCTCCCCATCCCCCACACGTCCTACCCGGATTCAATCAGCGGTGATTTATCGCAGGCGCTGCTGTTCTGGCGCTTGCACTTTTAGTGGCAACTGCACTGCAAAGTTACAACCGTTTTAATTTAATTTACACTGGTTTCGAGTTCGTTAACAAAACAGAATTTAATTTGTGTGAAGTTAATATAAACATATTCTTAATTTGTGAGTACATTTGTGACCGCCGTTACTGTTAACCTACGTAATTGCTACATTTAGAATACTTGTTCAACCTATCTGGTGTTACTAACAAATGCGTAATTTAGACTAGTTTAATATAACATTAGGCGGATGCCTTGTTGAAAAATGCCCAGAAAATTCCTATTTTTGCCACACTGGTGCTCCTACGCATTAAAACAGAATTAAAGTCAGATTTTTCTAGGATTATGGACTCCCCCTTTCCCCCTCTCCCATCCCTGCTGTAATCCTGATGAATTGTTTATGAAGGGTCAGGCTTGTGCTTTATATACAAATATAAATGTGGTCTGTCTGAAAGCGAATCAAAGATTTATATGCTGAATTACTGAGCCATCTTTGTTTTTATCCTCCTGACATTTTACTTATTTACTTATTTATAAATAAATAAATAAAATAATCTGGCTTTCCTCAAAGTGGGTCAGTGATGTGATTGCTGGATTAACAGGTTGTCCCATCAGACACCCCACCTCTGAAAAACTACCCATGATTTGTGTTTATAATTAATAATCCAGTATTTCTAAAGAAACTGGTGATGTTCAGAGGTGATGTAAACATGCAGGCCTTCTGTAAACATGTGACTTTTCTGTCTAACAAGGCTGCACAATATTTCCTTCTAGTGACTAGATTGAGTTACTGCAGAAGGAGGACCAGGAGCCAAATTTTCTGCTGCAACGAGGAAGACGAGGGAAGCTGCAGGAGCTCGTCTCCAGTGTGTAGAAGAGGCTGAAAATGAGAACCTGGATGTAAACGGCAGAATGAATAGATGTAAAAAAGGGTGGAGGATGGGAGGTAGAGGGCACAGACAGACAGGATTAAAGAACACCATCTGTCCACTGAGATCCTTCAGCCAGGACACACAAAAAAAACATCCCCATCAAATGCAGGATTAACACTGTCTGCACAAACATGAATGGACTCAGTTGTGAGTCGCTTTAGGCTTGTATTTTTAAGTTTTACAACATGAATGCTTGCTTATTTGAACAAAAGAAAAGGACCTTTAATCCCATAATACTTTTATTTGGCACTAGTTCTGGGGATTCTTTTGTAGGTTATATGCAAATAATTTAATAAAGACACAAATGGACAGAAACAAAGTCACACCAAACTCCATGCAAAAATCTATTGCTTTAGTAGCAAACATACATGCCTCCAAAATGCATCACAGGTCATAAACTCTCAATGTCATTTATGCCTCAGCAATGCCCATGGATTATTTCTGCATACAGTATTGCATCCAGACAAAAGTAACTGAAAAAATACAAGAGAAATGAACAAAAACCTCAATATTTCCAGGAAGATTTTTTTTTAAGCTTGTAATTATTCAACTTGTAAAGAGCTTATTCAGTCTGAGCCCACTCGTTTCGCTCCATCACAAGACTTGCTGTCAGCAGACCGTCCTGCTTGCTGCCCTCACGTCTCCCATTAGGCCCTGAAGGATAATTTGTTTAAACAGGCTCGCTGTGGAGCTCACTGACCCGCTGTCTCTGAGTTGCTGGCTTTCTCCCTCTGTTTGTCTGCTGACTCTTTCTGCACCGTGCTGACTTTATCGGTGCTCATCTTTTCTCTACAGCAGCTGCTGTCTCATGCAGTTACACATAATGTCTTTTCTTTTATAAATGGCTCAGATAGAGGCCAGAATTTCTAACTAAACAAAACTGGCACAAGAATTATGGAGCTAGATGACAAAGAGTATTTAACAAAACAAAATCACTAAAAACTTTAAGTTTTCACATTATATTTCTTAAGAAACCCTTTCCCCCCTTTTTATTGCAGTTTTTTTCAAATGTTTTTTTTAGCAGTTGCATGCTCGCAAACCGCGCAATTTATGACACTGCACATAAAAATAGATTACAACTTGACAGGAAAATTAGGCTTTTAAAAAAACCTATTTATACACACAAGTACGGCAAGAAAACAACCAGTTTATAACTAATTATATCCACACAATGGTCCATAAAACTGATTTTGAGCTAACTAAATCAGTCCTGCAGGGTTTTATTGTGGGACCTGCATTAACTGTGAAAAACTTTTCTAAGGTAAGAACTCTCAGACAGCTTCCTTGTGCAATTAAAAGTAGCAGGCAGTTTGCTAATCATCAAATGGACTTGGTAACTGATCATCAGCAACTGTAAGCATCTCTACAAAAAGCTGTTTTGGCAGTTTGCTGGTCTGTTGGTCAGGTGTGTCTTCTGTGTGAACGCGGAAAATTCACCCCAAGGTCAGAAAAAACCCACAAATTTCTACAGAGTCCTGACTGAGGACAGCACAGTTTAGGTTTGCAAAGTTACATCTGAACAAATCAAAAGATTTCTGGATCAATGTCTTTGAATCCAGAGTGGAGATGTTTGGCCATGATGCACAGGGTCACAGGGTCATACTAGTTGTGAAGGATGGTGGTGGAAGGATGATGAGTTGAGCTTGTTTTGCAACCCAACTCTTCTATATACCAAAGTATTAAAGTAGTAAAATATGAGGCCATTGCTCTGACAGCTAAAGCTTGGCTGAAATTGGGTTGTGCAAGAGGACAATGATCCCAAGTACAACAGAAAGGCTAGGTTTCCCAATGGGTTCACCTGAAACCTTGGCTGATTGTGACCCACATCTGTTTTCACACCTTGGCTCGTGTGATATAGGCGGTTCATTACCCTCTTGGAGGACACTCCCATAGGGCTTAAAAATCTGGGACTCTTTACCATTTGCTCTTAGAACTGAAGAAGCTTCTCAACGAGAGGTGAAATGTCTTCAAGAAAATTAAAGAAGTCCAGACGCTTTGCTTTCCAAACTCCTTAGACAACAGAAAGGCTAAAAACAAAACAAAAATGAATCAAGGTGATGAAATAGCCCAGTCAGCGTCCAGACCTTAACTTGACTGAAATGCTGCGGCAGAACCACAAGAGAGACAAATGCCTGCAACCAGCAGTCACTGAATGAATGAGTGAAGATGTTGTTCTTGTCAAAAGCTTCCTGAGCATCGTTAGTATATAAACACTCACCAAATTCACTATATAACTCTTCATTTTCCCACTGCCTGTAACCATGCTGTCCACAATTAACTCTCCAGATTGAATTAGAAGTTTCAGGGAGGAGTTCGCCTCATGACAGCACAAATCAGCAAAGACTGAGGGAAAAACTCAGGTGACACGCGGGTGCTTGCGATATAAAGAGGGACGTTTTATCAGATCATTGGGGACATAGAGAGAAACAGAGATGAAAATAAATGTAATTTGCAAATGAGCTGGGGGACGCACCACATAAACTAGTTAGGGAGTCGTAACGCCCTGGGACAAGAAGTGTTTAGAAAAATCCAGCTCGAAACATCAACCAAGGGACTTTTAAGGAAGCATCATGCCTCGTTCACAACTTTTATTTATTCTCATGTGTTGTCTTCCTTTGGCAGGTATGTAAAAACATTCAATTGTCTTCAGGTGCTTTTGTAATGTAAGGGAAAAAAATCTAATACTTTTAAATACTGGACATCCATTACTTAAGTCAGTGAGAGGGACAAAGTCTGCAGAGCTTGGTCGGTGGAAACAAAACTCTGTGATGTTTGACATTTTTCTGCATGCACATTTGAGATTTGACTCTCTTAAAGCTGACATATTTTTTAATGCATTTTAGTGCAAGATCTCCTGTTACAGGAAAAATGATTAATGATGGATGCTAACATGCTTGATTTGATGAGTTCAGGTATACTTTTCACATAAAGAGAGTTTTATCCCTTTAATTAGGAAGCTCTTTTTGCCAGGAAATACTACACAGAGGAGATTTGTAGTGTATGCTTATATTCCACTACTGTAGTTTGATTCAAATAGTGTAGATTGTTGAAGAAATCCGTTCAAGTAAGTTCAGTATGTTGGATTTGTTGTCGGTAGTGTTTTTAATTTTTCTTATGTGACTGGTAAACATGAAATAAGTCATTTAGTCCAGTACACATTTTGTCTAAGACTTTGAAAGTTCAAGCACTTTTTCTTGTTTTTCAGTGGTGGAAAGTACAAATTTAACACGGTAAATCGAGCGGTTATTATATAACACTTTTCTATTACACAGTGTTTTATACACACTGCAACAAAGAGCAACTTGGTTCAGTATTTTGCTCAAGGACGTTTTGGCACTGAGACTGAAGCAGCTGCCAATCAAACCACCAATGTCCCAGTTAGTAGATGGCTCGCTGTACCTGTTGAGCTACAGTCACCCCATAACACACTTACTTTAGTTACAATTTTAGTTACATATTTAAACTTTATCGTACACAACATGTGAAGAGTTTAAAAGGTGCTGACTTGAGTTAAATGTAAAATCTACAAGTACTCTGATATTTTTAAACTAAAAGTGAATTATAAACAAACATTTCATATTTATTCTCCAATGTCAGGCTTTTTTTCTAATGAGTTTGACTATTTTAATTTAAAGTTTACTAGTTTTACTCATAAATATAAAATAAACTCAAAATGAAATATTATCATAACAATAACTTACTCAACTACAAGTGTACATCTTTAATCATATACTCAATAACTCTGGTGAAGGGTGGTGCCCGAGTAGAACATGCAGAAGGAAGGACACATGACTTCTGCTTACGCTGTCTTAAAGCTGCTTGCCAATGTAATTTTGCAGTGCGCTGTTTGCATATTTACATTTGTTGTGTACATATCGTACACTTGGAAATACGAAAAGTAAAGAGAGTGTAACCTTTAACCCATTTTACAGTGTTTTTACTGTTGTCTTATGAATAGAAACATGTTGGCATCATAAAATGTATAGCTAGTAAATGAAAAGTACTTAGAGTTTCTGTTATGACAGTTGTCTGCCGAATCGGTGATAGAAAAGTAATTATCAGATGTTGCTGAAGTGCAGAGAAGCCAATGTTAGAAGAGAAGTTAAAAAGTGTCTCAATTACAAAGATATTCCACCAGGGGGCACCAACAAGTCTATTTTTCAACATCAAAATATGCATTCATCTTCTACGAAACAATTTGGCTTCTTGTGGAAACAAACATAATTGCAGTTACTGTTAGTTCGCAAATATCATGTTTCAGAGCTAAATCTTTTATGTTGTGACTGTCAGCTGATACAATATTGGAGTTTTAAGCTCTTGTTGTTGCAATCCCTGCCAGAGCTGTACAGCTGACAGTGCCTAACAACCACTGTTTTTGCCCCTCAGCCTGTTTGCACTGTTACACCTGTATGTTTCCATCCATCTCTCCTCTGGACTGCTTAAAGTTTCCTGTGGAGTGTCCAGCTGGCCAGCGCTGCCTCTCCAGCGTAGCGACAGGAACACGAGGTAAGAGCCATATTTGTCTGCATTTATTAGATTAGATTAATTTCAGTGAGTCTCAAGCATGATGGCCACAAACTGGAAAATAAAGCCTTATTTTATAAAAGATTTGTGAGAAACATTTTTAGAAATGCACATTACAGTGAACAGACAATAAAGACACCATTAGGACCAAGTCTAAAGTTCTTTTTATAAACAAAACCTTTCAGCTTGTGGTCACATATCATACATAAACTGTACAATAAGGACTGTTTCATGTCTTTGTAGGCTGCTCTTTGAACTGCTTCTCAGGGCCTTGTCTTTCGTCAGTGACCTAAATGTGAAAACAAAACCAGGTGAAAGAATGATTCAAACTTCTGTACCATTTTCTCATCAGGCCGGTTGTCAGCTCAATAGCACCCGTGATGTCAAATTATGTCTAAAAATAACACTCCGGGCTATCTGGGTGGGGCAAAAATGATCACCATGTCTCATCAGGGGACAAAGTTCCCACAATTACTCTCAGTTTGCAGTATGAGTAATTTTAAAACAATCCCAGTGAGGAACTAGTTAAATTTGCTTGCTTGATGAAGAGTCTGAATGAATAATCTGCTGTCTCTTGTTTTACTGTACTTCGTTCTACTGCAGTTTTTGGACTCTGCTATCCTTTCTGTTTATATCTTGTTGTTTTTTGAGTTTTGGATTTCCTACACTCACCGGCCACATCTTGCTAGTTCCTTGCTTTGATCTCCTTTTGCTGTTCAAACTTCCTTAAATCTCTGTGTCATAGATTCAGCAAGCTTTTGGAAAAATACCTCAGACATTTTGGTCCATATACGCTATATTGTCATGATAGCGTCGCACAGTTGCTGTAGATTTGTCGGCTAAACATTCGTGATGAAAGTCGCTCGTTCCATATGAGTAATGTGAGCTCGGTGTCATGTTCAAAAACCAGTTTGAGATGATTTGATGACATGGTGCATTATCCTGCTGGGAGCAGCCATCAAAACATTGGTACACTGTGGGCATAAAGGGATGGACGTGGTTAACAACAATACTCGGGAACAATATGGTGTTTAGACAATAATGAGCTGGTAAAATATCTCCTACATTACCGCACCACCGCCAGCAGCAACCTGAACCATAAATACAAGGAAAGATGGATTCCTTCAGTGTAGCCTCTGGTCTCTATGAGGCATTTTCACCCAGAGAACTGCTGTTCACTGAACAATTGATCTTTTCCGGCCATTCTCTGTAAACCTTGCAGATGGTTGTGTGGGAAAATCCCAGCAAATCACCAGTTTGTGAAACACTAAGATAAGACTGCCTGGCACCAACAACTATGTCACTTACTGCCATGCAGTTGGCTAATTGGAGATTTGCATTAACGAGCAGCTGGACAGGTATACCTAATGAAGTGTCTGGTGAGTCTATATTGCTAACATCCAGGTGCAAAAAAAAAATCAAGAAATAAAACTAATCAGGCATTCAAAGTTTTCTTTGCTTTTACTGTTTTTGAAGCATTCATAATGTTAAATTTAAAACGATCAAAAAATGTATAAAACACAATACACTTCAGTATCTATTTAAGCATAAACACATCATATCATCTCCATTAGTCATGATTCCATTTATGTTATATAACAATTAATTGAAAAATATATTGGATTTGCTGAGAAATGAGGATATAAAACGTCATTCTGTTATATTTTGGTGGGAAAGTTTGACAAAACAGATTTATGAATTCATGAGTTCTGGTTAAACGCATGCTTTGTTAGGTTGTTGTGACCTTTGACATTCAGATTTTCACAAAATCAGATCATCCTTGAGTCCAAATAGATGCAAATTTCCAAAACTGAGAGACATTTGGAAACATAATACTTAATCAGTGCATCAAATATTTTTTTTCTCGCATTCGACACTTGCTGAGTGAACTAGTCCTAAAAAGGCACAGTGTCCTGTGTCAAGAACCATTAAAAGTGTAGAAAAAGGATTGAATGCTCTTTAAATTCCATGCGAATAATAATAACAATAATAATATCCTTCTACTCCTCTGCTCTCACAGGCCCACTACAGCTGACGTTGTACGAAAAAAGCTGCGCAGTTGCCTCCCAGTGCGACGTGAGTGGAGAGAAATACACGTCAGGGGTCTCCTTCAACTACACCAACGTGTGCTGCGATACCGACCTGTGCAACGGTGCCGTGTCCGTTACTGCCCCCAGCTTGGTGGGAGTGGTGCTCTGCCTGCTGCCTGCGCTCGGGCTCCTGCTGGCCTGAGCAGCAGACGAGACGATGCAGTTTTATCCTCGATAAAAAATTTTTTTTAAAAATGAAACACATCTGTCACCGACTGATTTACTATGAAGATGTTTTATTGGGACATTAATAAACCCTACTTCGTAAGATGTTTAAAGTACAAAATACATTTCAGCTGCGCTAGTAGTTTGCCTTGATCGATGATTTAAGCCAGCTGATTGTGTGTCAGCACTTTTACTTTTGATCAAGTGGACTTTGAAGTTTAGATGTTTTTGACTACATGATGGCAAAATGAGTGGAAAAAAAGACAATAAAAGGCTAAAATAGTAAAAGATGGTTAAGAAACAAAGCAAAAAGCACAGTTTGGATAACAACGGACATGGATGACATATATATATATTCTTTAAAAAAAAGTTAAAACAGTTAATTGAGAAACAAACTATGCATTTAATGATTTGTCTAATTTAACATATTAAGTGGTCCCTGAAATTACATCAAGTCCTACAGTCTTCCACACACGGAGAGAAGAAATACTACAATATATTAGCACTAAAATTATTCAGACTCTGTCCCTTTAAACATCATTCCACTTTAAAAAATAGATAAAAATCCAACAATTCAGTCAAGTACAATGCATCATCTACTTGATCAATACCAAGCATGTCATTGCGGAGGGATTACAACCTCTGTAGAAAAATAATTGACTTTGCTCCCGCTGTTTTTCTAATAAAGTTTAACTCAAGATTGTCTTCTTAAATATGCTTAAATTGCACTTAGGTTTATTTTGTCAATGAGTTTCACCCTGATCTGAGACACACAACAAAGATGTTTGCAGCACAAACTGTAGCCCGGTCCACACGTACATGGATGTTCTTTTAAAACTGGAATTTTTTGCTTTTGTTCAGAAAAAAAAATCGTAACACAAAAATGCAAAAAAGAAATACGTCAAGGGTGCTTGACATAATCGCAACAAGTGACCCTAACTGTACAGGAATGCTGGCCAATTAGAAGCCAGCCTGTTGTCAAAAAAGGAAATAAAGGCGCACACCTTTTCCTCCTGTTTCCCTATTGAGAGTCTTCACTGTGGACGGAGGTTTTAAAAAGCTTCCATTTAAGTTTTTTGTGTGAAAAAAAGGGAAAAACACAACTCAGAAACTAATTTTTACTACTGCACATTAGGGCTGCCACGATTTGTCGACTAGTCACGATTACGTCGATTATCAAAATCGTCGACGACTGATTTAATAGTCGACGCGTCGTTTGAAGCTTTAAGATCACAAAAGACGCAGGAATAAGTGGCAGGATTTAAGAGTGTAATAACGGACTGAAACAGAAGATGGCAGCATTGCATGTACAAGGATGTCAGCTACCGTTAAACCCCGAAGAAGAAGAAGCAGCAGCTGTGTCCCAGAATTCATAGCACGGCCCAGCGCAGTTTCCAACAATGGCGGCAGCTAGTTAGTTTTAATGTTACTCTTATTATTCTTTCTGGGTCACAAAATAAACGTTTAACATATTTTCAGGCGAGAATGTAGCTGTGTAAACCTCAAATATCTGCTCAGTTTATCAGGACACCACATATTTTCAAAAGCGCTCCGACGTTTTCGGAGACATCTGTTACCCACTAGCTCGTTAGCGAGCCGGGGGCTAGGCTCACTAGCGCCGTGAGAACACCAAACTCCCCGCAAATCGTTTTCAAACCCACCACTGTCTTTCGCTACTCAGGTTAAATATATATGAGTCACTTAGATAACTTAAAATGTTATTGTTTGGCTTTTTTTTTTTAGTATTTTATTTGTTCCTGAGTAAATCAGTTTGTCTGAGATTAAAGTTATAGTTTTTACACAGCTGAATAAACGTCAAGCAGACAACTGATTATCAGAAGTGTGAGATGCTCCAGAATATACTCCAGTGTCCTGTTATATTTTAGATAGCAAGGAGTTTATTAAACTTCACCGAAACAATCTGCAAATTTCATTAAAATTTAATAAACTACCATCTTGTCTTTATTTTTAGTTAGCACAGACCTTAAACACTTAAAGCTGTAAGCTAATGATAGTTATATAAGAGCAGATGCTGCTGGTGCAATAAGCTGTAGTTTTACGTCCAATGGATGATGATCTGATTAGTCGACTAATCGCAAAAATAATCGGTGACTAGTCGACTATCAAAATAATCGTTTGTGGCAGCCCTACTGCACATGTAGACAGGGCCCATCCCTGAGAGCTCTCTATAAATGTTAGTTCATTATTTCCTTCACAAGCTGCTCCTAAAGTCAGAAAAGGCGTGCTGTCCAGTAGTTCCAGTTCCTCGCAGCGAGTTCATTTCAAGTCACTTAAACAGGAATTTCAGACCAGAGGACTTCCTCCCAGGAGTGGATTAGTCCACAGCGCATCTCTGAGGACACAAGGCTTTTAAAGGATCAGGCTGGTTCAGGTATATTTTTACTGTCAGCAAGTCCCGTGAAAACACTAACAATGCATTTAACCTACAACTGGTTACAAGGCCAAAATTCTTGGTTTCTATCAAAATGTAGACGACATTTGGACAGGAGATACTAGCAGTTGACGTGGTGCACTAATCTCGAAAAGTAAATCCACATATTATAAATGTTCAGACTCTATTTATATCAACCTGGTTGTTTTATAACTGTAGCTATGTTGATGCTTATCCTTCCTCTTTTAAAAAAAAATGTCTATGTTTAGCATGTTTTATAGCACTTTAACAGGCTCATGGTAACTGCAGACTATTAAAAAATGGATGTAACTTCATGGTCTGAAGAGTGAAACCAATAGGGAAGTGCCTTAAATGGCCACCCTTTTTCATGGCCATTGGGGTTGGACTTCTCTGCTTGAAAAGACCACCTATGGGGTAACAGCCTTTGGAGTTGTCCTGTGTAAACAGTTTCTGGAAGAGCTTAAATAGGCTGAGTTACTCATTTTGGATCATACTGAATAAGAGAGAGTGGTTCAACAGCGTAGCAGTTAACATAATCGCCTTACATGTGAAAGATGCACCGTTTGAGAATAAAACCCAGCCTCAAGGGACTATAAGCTAATGTAGTCCCTATATGTGTCAGGTTTGAAGGAGGTGAAAGTACCATAAATGGATAAAACAAAACATCGGGTCCATTTTATACATTTTGGTCAGTCCAAGGTGTATCTAGGATGCACATTGGCTAACGGCAATGACAAATTATTGACAAGTCATAAGCCAATGAATGCAAAGTTTCAAATCGGCTCTCGTTTGTCACATCCGGTTTCAAAAGATTGTTTCAAAAAAAAGGAAATGATGTCATGGTGGCTACAAACACCTTTTATATAATCCGTAGTTTTGGCTTCTTTTGGTAGCATTCAATGGCAATGCTTACACAGTGCTTACACCAGATAAGCAGTCGAAGTAATTCATCGTGTTAGCAAGAAGACTAAATGTTATATTTTGTGCAGCTGATTTAATTTGTACAAAGCGTTAGAATTAGAAAGCATTTTCATGGGAGTAACTGACAGTGAGAAACACAAATACGCTTCATCCTGCACCTCCTTCAATACCCACTGGGCAGCACTGAATAAATTACTGGCAATGGGCCCTCACAGCGGATCACATAGACGCTTGGTAATCTTAAATAATCCTTCACGCCTGCTGTGTGGGAGCACAGAAAGGGGAAGCCCGCCTCTATTGAAACAGTTTCCTGTCTCTGTAACTGTTTTCAGCTCTTCAGCGAGACCCGGTATGCACCCCTTTCCTCTCTGAGGTGCACTACAAAGAATAAGCAATCTAACACTTAGACAAAACTTGGCTTTTAATTAAAGGATAAAAAAGATTTTGTACTGTAAAAAGGCCTTGTACCCTCAGTAACGAAATAAAGTCCATGTGAAAGGCTCAGTACAAAAGACTCTTTGGCAGGTGATCTGGAGCTGATATGCAAATTTCACTTCCTTAACCAGAGAAACGAGAGCTGAATCTGCCTGGGGGAAGCCTGCAACGTTACATATGAAAAGTTTGATCTGTCAGGCAGCTTTGTGTCTGTTGAAATTACTACCAGGAAAAATAACAAAAAACCCCAAAACATACTGTAGCAACTGTCTTGAAGAAGAAAGGAACAAGAAGCGTCAGTGTGTATCTGCTCATGGTGAAACTGTACATAAGCAGGGCTGTAGTTAGACGAGTGCGATGACGATGTGGATGTGCGCTCCTGCGAGCAACGTGGTCGGCAACCGGAGAACGTGACCCGTGAAAGAACCAATCGGAGGAGGAAGTTTAACGGGGTTAAAAGTTGCACTACTTGCATGTAATTGCTTTCACTTGCGCTTTCCCGAGCTTCCTTGTTTCCCTTGCTGATGTAAACCGACCCAGTTTCAGGTGAGGAAAAACAATGTAAACTAGCGCCAACACTGCGAAAGGTGATACTGGCGTATAAGGGTGCAAGAAATTAACCTGCAGGCGTAACAAATGATTCCTGCAGCGCTCCAGTTTACAAAGAAAAGGATCGACCATGCTGCTTGCAGAGTGAATATTCATGAGTGTGTGTGTGTGTGTGTATTTTGTGCTTTCCTATGTTGCTCTGCTGGTATATTCAGAACATGTAACCCCCTGTTCTATCCCTACTTGAGAGCTTTAGCTACAGAGGAGTAGGCGAAGTAGATCTCCTCGTCAACCGGGCAGGTGGAAGAGAACTCCTCCCTTGCATAGGCGGCGTTCAGGTACCTCCAGAGGTTTGTCAGACTCTGAGGGATGGTGAATTGTCTGTATTTCAAGCACACCACCTGCAGAGATAGAGGGTGGGAAAAAATAGGCATAATTACAAAAAAACAAAGCAAAGCATTGACTCATTCTTATAACCCATCATCCTCATGCTGCACTGCTTTAAAAATCACAAGATCACCTTCACGATGTGGAGCTTAGGCAGCAGGTTGCAATCAGCCAGAGTGAGCGCCTGGCCATCCAGGAAAGGGCGTGACGAGGAAGTGAGCTCATCGGCGCTATTCTCGTCGATCTCATCAGGAAGTGGGGAGCCGAGGTAGTCGTCTAGCTTCTTCAGAGCCTTCAGGAGGCCTTTCTCTAGATCTGAGCACATGGGCACACACAGAAAACACTCAAGCATTAAGTATAAAGAGAGGTGTCTTGATATAAATATATTTAAACCAGCAGCAGAGACGAGGTAGGAAAAGCTGCACACAAACATCAGCAGGTGACGTGTTTACACTCAGAGTCTAATGTTATTAACAGAAGCTCCCTGCTGATTTTTAGCCCATCTGGGAACTGACAGAAGCAGCTCAGCACGATTTTAAACCAGGCACTACTCTAACATTTACTTTATTGCACCATAAGTCTGAGTGGAGCCGACTTACTTTCATTGGTCTGAGGGTTTGAGTTCTTGACGTAGGCAGAGAACTTGGAGAAGACGTCCAGGCCTGCCGTGTTGGACTCTGGGTTACGAGCAGCCAGACGAGGATACCTAGATGTCCAATCACATCATAGATCACATCAAGATATAAATCTTCAAGCGATTCGTGTTGATGTGCAAGAAGTCAACAAATGCATTTCCAGCCAACGGTTTATTTTGTTATCATTAATCTATTCATTGCTGTATCTACAACGGAAACACCTGCAAAAATGTAGAATTAGATAGTTTAATCTCACAAAGATTCAGATTTAAATCTTGTGGTTTGGAGTTGGCGTGCAGGGCCTACTTTTTCAACTTGTCTACAAAATGTTGCCTTTTTCCTGCAAAATTCAAAACAATCAATCTGTGCTCAAAGCCTCCAGAGACATCTCTTTGTGCCCAACAAAGTTGCAATATTCAGATCATTATCAGATCAAACAAGACAGTTTGTGTTATCTGTATCAGCACTTCAGAGATGAAGGGAAAGATTACTTTGGAGGGCAGAGATGCTCTTCCAGGAACTCCTCAATCTTGTTGGTGTCAGTTTTCACCTCGCTGCCGTATAACAGGAAGGGAGGCTGAGCACCTGGTGCCAGGTCCTTCAAGATGTCTGGCTTCCTGAAAGCGGGACGGAAAAAGTCCAGAAGACAGATGGAGTAGAGAGTGAGTCAGAACAGAGAAAGACAAAAAAGGGAAAAAAAGGAGTGGAAAGATTTCCAACCGCAGGAAATTACCCATGTGAGCAGCTACAATGTGTCCAACTTTCACCTAAAATCAAAGCGTGGCAGCTTTTTATCTTTTAATGAATGAATGAAATACCCCAGGCTTTTTCAGTGCCAGCTTCACTTGGGGCCATTAAAACATTAAAAGTGTAGGCGAATGTTCCCTTGTTGCGCCAGCATTAGTGAGAGAGACAGAATAAACAAAAGTGGCCATACAGAGCGTGAAGGACGAGTGCTTTCACCTCTTCATATCCACTGTGGTAACGTCAAAGGTGACTCCCTTAAGCCACAGCACCATAAAGAGACGCTGAGAGAAAGGACAGTTGCCGATGCTCTGACCATCGCTTCCTGCCTGGGAAACAAAAACAGAGAATATTACAATATTACAGTAATGTTTCCATCTATTTTTCTAAGACTTTCCTCCATAAAATGCTGGAAAATCTGCTGTGTTTCTTCAGGTCAGCGATCCAAAAACGCAAAGAAAAGCCTTAAAATCTTGGCCGCACATTTGGTTACAGTACGCATACTGTTGATGCAGAAACGTGCACCTTAGTTTTTCACCCTTAAACCAACCTGCAAAGTCAGCACACAGGATGTCTGAGTCAAAACAAAGAGAAATATACATCACCACACATCACATTTCCTCAAAGAACTCGAATCGACAACTGAAAGTGAAGGCGTTTGAGCAGGATGGAATAGCTGCTGTTAAACAAAAAAGAAATTCGGGGTTTTTTGGTATGATGGAAATAAAGTTCTAATTTCTGCCTTTTAAATCGCAAATGTACAGAGTTTATCTGCTTGTCTGATTTGTCTTTACAGCAGTAATTTTCCCACTATCGGATAAATTGGAATATAATTATTGCATAAATGAAACAAACTATGATTATTTAGTCTGCACAAGGCTGTTTTAAACACTATAACACAGTTTGTAGACCCAATCATTAATCAGCTCCAAAAACAATCCCCAAAATGAAACTACCTGAAGCTTGAGATGCAGCATATGTTACTTCTGTTACTGCCGAGCCATACGGCAAATTTTGGTATCGATACTTAAGTAAATATTGGGTAAATATTGCCAATACTAGTACTGATACTAGGGGAAAACAAGGCATTCTGAAGAAATTAAAATTTTTAGAGCAACAAAACACACCTTTCGGTTTTCATGTCTGAAATGTAAACGTGGATTGACCCACCCACCCCTAACTTCTTTACTGCTGTAGGGCGTGCTAGTTTTGATCTTTAGGATCTGAAACGTGGCTCATCAGGCAACCGCCTAGTGTTGTTAACCACAGTTCACGAGAAACTACATTTAAGAGGTCAATTTAGAGAAGTTACAACAGCATCTTTCACCGTGAAGAAGGTGGGGGTGGGAAGCACAGGGTGGTGCACATGTTCACACAGAGAAATCTTTATGTGTGAAGTGAGCCACACTGGTTAGTATGTTACTGCCTGTTTTTGACTCAAAGAAAATGGGATTAGCCTGCCTGGCCAACATACTAAATATAGACTAAAGTCGGCTGGCTGTTATCTTAATGTGCGTTTAATTAGATTAGCCTTACAGTGGTTTATAAGCCCGGTGAGTCAGCAGAGGGGGGTCTGATTGACGTCACTATTACAACAAATACTGCGTTAAAATAAAAGATAAAATAAAGGTGGCTTGATGTCAGCTGTAAGGACCGTGCAGGTGTCAGAGACAGGTTATCAGCATGTAATAGAAAACACACTGAGCGTGCTGATGAAACAATAAGATAAAAGAAGCCCGAGCAGACCGGCTCAGCCCACTAAATAAACTCAGGGCACATAATGTCGCCCGTGTGCGCGTCACTCTCTGGGTGTGATGCTTTCCTTCTCTGCGCCCATTCACTCTCTTACCTTCACGAAAAGTTCAAGTTTGGGCTGACCGGCGTCGCTCATCTTCACCCGTAGCTGCACGAAACCTATAAAGAGAGAGACACGGGCGTTAAAAAGTTTCTAACGCGAAGCCCGATCGAGCGCAAAGTCGCCTTTTCTGAGCCAGAAACAACCGCAAACGCGGGGAGCCCAGCCCATCTTCCGCTACACAATACTAAATACTAAAGTGACAAACGCGACAATGTAGCAGCTCCACGGGCGTCACAAAGTAAATCCACACATGCCGTGCGCTCCTGAAGCTCAAAATTCACATAATTTAGAGTCAGTAGAGCTTCTAACCTCACAGTGCTCGAAGTTCTCGTTGCCTGTTGCTGGTTTCTCCTCCCAGTTCTGCTGCGGAGTGCGTGTGTGTGTGTGCGCGCGTCCGTTGGCTGCAGCGACACAATCATCATCATCATCATCCTCCTCCATTTCCTGGTGGTGCATGACGGGCTGTGCTCTCAGCGAATAAAAGCGGCCGTCGTATGAAGGAGCGGTCTGTTTATTCACGTTAAAGAACGTTTATTTCAAAGCAGCAAATAAAAGCACAGAAAAGTCACCGCGGAGAGCCGAGCTTGGAGCAGGCGGCGTGTTACGTAACAGCCACCATGAGAAGAGCACTTGGCAGCTTTGGGGAGACGCGTTAAAGGCACTGGTTATGGGGCGGTGGCTGATGTGTCTGACTGTCCCATATACAGTTAGGGTTGTAGATTTTGTAGTTTTGCCTCTGTGCACAACCACAGCGGATTTTTATATCAAACCTTAAACATCTGATTAAAATGCAGACTTTATCAATAGGAAAAGCTGTAAAACTTACGAAAATACAGTTAAAAGTCCAAAAGTTGATCCCCTCTTTCACATTTTTCAGCCTTCCTTGCGATCGCCTGCCAAAAACTGATTTCCAATGTTTCCGCGTGTTTTTTACGTGTAACATCTTTATGTATGTTGGTAAATAGACTTCGGTGAAAAGGGTTTACAGATTTTTTATATATCAAATTTAAAAATGGCCTGTTTTCAAGTATCTTTATAACTCTGTGTTATTGTACTTACATTATAACCAATCGTGTCCTTTGTCCACTTAAAATATGTTTACAGAACTATTGTTATATTTGTTGCAATTCTGCTGCCCTCTCGACCAGATTACTCTTAAAAAAAAGACATTTTTAATGTGAACGAGATTTTTTAACTGCATAAATAAAGGATATATAAAAATCCCTGCCAAAAAACTGATTGCGGCTTTTACTTTGTTACAGGAATGTTGTTTGTGGGCCAAGATGACTTGATATCATTCATGAGGGATACATTTGACATGTTTCACATATTATAGACCCGCGGCCTTATGTTTCAACACCCCTGGTTTAAACAAACGTGCTTAGTTGATGCTCAGTCTCTGATTTTAAGAGGCTCATACATTATTGTGCTCACATTGTTAAAAACTGCAAAGCATGCTTGTGACTGAGTTGGCCATTGCAAAAATATCCCAGTTCTCTGCCTTGAAAATTTCCTGGGTTTCTTTAGTAGTTTGTTTTGGCTCATTAACAATTTTCACTGTGAAGCCTGTCTGACCTGTTTTTCAGCACTTGGCTCAATCTGAGCAGAGAATATAGCCCATCCCGTTCCTTCTATCAGTAGTCACATTGTCAATAAACACAAGTGATCTGGTTTCACTGACAGCCATGCGAGCCCATGACATAATAATACCTCCACCATGTTTGACAGATTACTTGTGGTGTGCGGATCGATATTGAAATATCGATTCTTCCGATACCAGTAATTTATGTTCTAGAATCGATTCTCATCAATATCGATATTTTAGTACTTTGGGGTAAATTTGTAGTTTTTCATTAACAGGAACACCGTGGAAAGAAACTATGTCATTCGGATTGTCTAAATTGGAAGGAACTACTTCCTCTTGCCTTTCACGGTCATATGCAAACTACTGGCCTGCGCACTCACGCTGAGCGTGAACGAAGTCACGTGTGGACGTATTTTACCTCCACAAACAACCGAGACGTGGTTTGCGATACATGTGGCAAGACAGTGAGGTGTTGTGGCAACACCACTAACCTAGTCAAACACCTCAGAGTAAATCATATCACAGAATATGACGAGCTTATGTTGAGGCGAACTGAAGAGGAGGAGAGGGACAGGTGCTGCTAGGGGAGTCAGACGCTCTGGCGGAGTCCTTTAGTGCTGCAGGCAGGCAAGGTGTTCAAATAGCACAAAACTTCAGATTTTTTATTTATGCATGATAATTCTACATTATTAAGCAATATGAACAAGTAGTCTGATGTCCTGTAATCATTATGAAGCTATATTATTCCGATTACCGGTACATAATACAGTTATATATTGTATTATGAAATACAATGAAACATTAAGTTTTTGTACAGAGTATCGGTATCGGATCAGTATCATCGATACCACTCTGAATTCATCAGAAAGGAAACCAGTGGTATCGCACATCACTACTGATTATATGCTTCAGTTCATGAGCCGTTTCTCTCCGTCTCCATGCTTTTCTCTTCCCATTGTACGAGCTTGTTTTGGTTTCATCTGTCTCAAAAATTATTTTTTCTGAATCATGCAGGCTCCTTTGGGTGTTTTCTGGGAAAAAAACGCGAGTTTCTTTTTAACATTAAACACAAAAGGCATTAGTAAGGTCTACAAACCTATTCCACCCCACATTTAGATTTGGGGATCTGGTCAGCCTGTTTGTTTTACCTTATTTTACAGAAGTTTTTGGATTTTCCTGCTATTTCTGAAAATAACAACAACTTGTAAATATGTATGTAAAATTAGCACCTTGGGGGCCAAACTGAAAAGATAACTTACAGAAAACACTCTACTTGCTGTAAATATTAAATCTCCTTTCAAATTAACACATTCAGGATCACAGTCCTCATATTTCACATTTCACAGATTTTTGTTGTCTTGGTTTTTTTAAAAAAGTTTCTTGTCACAAAAGTTTTTATTTGCTTCATTTAATTCTGACAAGTTTTACCAGCCACTTGTAAAATGCTGCCCCCTAGAGGTGAAGGTGTTACTCACAATCCACAGAAAATCTGGAGGTCGTGTCTCCAGAAATTTTGAGTATAAGTTGTTACATTTTCTGCATTCTGATAATTTTTGTTTTTTGGACTGATTTGTAAGTTTTCTAAAGGATAACTGTCCCAGAGAGAACTGATACAGGCATGGAGACAACATCCGTTTTACTGTGATGTAACAGCGCTGACCACTGCAGCACCGTGCTGCCTCACAATCTTCATGTTGCTTTAAAACAACTATTCTCAACTTTAATCCTTTAAATTTTTCACTGTGCACATGCTGACATAATTCACTATTTCTTCTTTTATTTGCTCTTTACTTCTTTTATGCACTAATTTTAATTGATTTCTGTCCATATTCAAAGCTTTCTGCATTTTCAAAACATGCCACACGGACGCCATCTGTGATGGTTTTAACGTGTTTGCTTCTTCGTCTCAGCTCCGTTACTGAGGCTGGCTGAGACCAAGTATCACAGGCTTGCTGTGTGGTAGCCTGGGAGTGAACACAAATGCAGGACTCTGGAGACTGAACATAAACTCAACAAAGCAGCTTCATTGCTGTACTCACAAACTCAAACAATACAAAATACAAAACTAAGTAAACTAGGAAACTGACTACAAAGAAACACAGGACGGCCGAGAGAGGACATAGCATTAGGGGAGGACTGATAATGATGTGATAAAAGAAAGGAGGGAAACTGAGGACTCAAATACACACATGAGGTAAGAGTGGAGACACCTTGGGAACAAAATTCAGCTAAGGAACCAAGAAGCAAAACTGACTATCAAAATAAGACAGGAAACAGATGTCAATTGTTTTAATTCCCATTAATTTACTTTTCTTGTTCCTGGAAACTTTCATCTTGTTACTGGACTTACTCAGTGTGGTTTCTTTTCAGCAGTTTGACCACAGAGCCTTGACTCACAGGTTCTCTTCTAATGATGTTGAGATGTATAACTCTGGGAAGCACTAAAGTGGGTTCTTAAAAGCTGATTTCTTACATTCCAGTTCAATTCTTGTCCAGAAAGGTTTTTTTTTTTTTTTTTTTTGTACCAGTGTCATCAATGTTTATTCATCTTTACCCAGCTGAGCAGTTTATTACACTAGATAGTAGCATGTAGAGTTTTTTGCTTTACTTTTCAGCAAAACAATCCCGTTTTAGTGAGACAGAATTGATAATAATGTGCTTTTTAAATTTTTGGTCTATTTTGGTTGTTTTTCTAATTTTTCATCAGCTCTACCATTGCTAGCAGTCTTATTTGGTCATTTTGTGTCTCTTTATAATACAGTCTATAATATTGTAGCGGGCTAAGGGGAGGAGCCACTAGCCCAAAGACTCATGGGACTGTTCACGTGACATTCACAAGTTAATGATCTATTATACATTAACATTAACATGTTATACATTAACATGTTATTGTTAATGTATAACATTATTGCAGCTGTTTGTTCTGTATTGAGTGTGGCCAGCAATGGACACCATGACTGAGACTGCTGCACCCGTTAATGACCTCTGACCGCTGTTCTTGGATATTCCTAATAAAACTGCATTTCTGTAGCTGAGCAGTGTAAAGAACACAGGAACTGCAGGTCTAAAATAAAGCTCTACATCTTCTACTTTGCTGAAGTTTGCCACAATATGGTTTGGTTGTGTTTTTTCTGTGCATTTGCTTTTATTTTTGCATGTTTTTATGACTGAGCAGCATCTCATATAGATGTGCTTTTGTGTTCTTTGACAGATGTTTTGCATGTATTTGTGTTTAGTTTGCATCTCTTTCTGCTATTTTTCTCTTTTTGGTGTTGTTTTCATTTCAAGGTTTGCGTTGTGTTTCTTTATTACCAGTTTATGCTGTGGGTGTCTGACTGCTTGTGTTCTTGTTGCGGCTTGCTGATGTTGTTCTGCAGATGTTAATGGTTCGGTGTGTCTTTTTCCAATTCTTTTGTATTTGGAGTGTCTTTGCACATTGTTGTGTTTTTGCATCTTTCGTGTCTTTTCTGTTACTTTGTTTTTCTAAAAATCCCGTTTAAGGTAACTTTTAACACCTTTTGTGTGTCTTTGGAGAGAGAGTTCAATCTGTCAAGATCTGCACGGCAGATCGTCACGAGATGAGAAGTGTGGACCCAAGTGCAAGCACTGATAACTGAGTAACTGGATGAGTTTATTTCCAGGGCAAGGTGAAGCAGAAAACAAAAGTAGAGCATGGCAGGGAACTAAATTTAACAAAGCCTAAACTGGGAGCAGCTACAAAACAATAATACAGAGGAACAAAAAAAAACCTGGAACATGGAGAAGTCCAACAGGGTTCATACAGGAGACAGACAAACCAGGACCTAATACAGGCAAACACAAGGCTTAAATACACAGAGGGATAACAAGGGAACGAGCCACAGAAGTAGAGCATAGCTGGGAACAATCAGACATGACGAGACCATGGGGAAGCAAAACTCAATACACTGACATAAGACACAGCCCTTCACAATAAAACAGGAAATACACAAAGACGCAGAGTTGGAGAGAAAACCACTGAGGAGCACGAGGGAGAGCACAGACATGATGAGCTGGGGAGACATGGAATAACACACACGGAGGGGAAACCCAATAAACTAATCTGAACAATTTAGGACTGATAGAATAATTCCAAGAACAGCAAATGAACTTTACATGATACAGAAACACAAGGAAACAAAGAACGTTGGGTCAAAATGACCCAGGACCATGACAAGGGGGTTATTGAGCTTTCTTTTGTTAGATAATAAACATGACATGAAAACTGAGTCTAGTTTAAAGAGTAAAGAGTAAATACAAAGAGGAGTGTCCTGCTGGGTTCTCCATCCATGGATCATTTTACACTAATAGCCAAAGCTTTTTCCAGATTCAGTGTCTGTCCATGGAGGCCAAATGGGGCCAGCACCACCGGGGTACATTAAGAGATTATATGATCTGTCTTCACTTAAAAACACTAAGCAAAGGGGTTTAAGTCAACAGGTGTATACATTACTAACAAAACAAATCCTATAATACTGAATGATTATTGGTTGTTAAGTTTGTTGACAATAATTCACAGGAGAAGAAATTAAAAATAATCTGTCTGAAGTGCACTGTGCTCACCAGCCACTTTCCCACCGTTCAGCTGCTGACTAACAGCAAATATTTAATCAGCTATTAGGAGAAGAAGGTGATTTAAGTGACTTTGAACATGGCATTGTTGTTGGTGTCAGATAGGCTGGTTTGAGTATCTAAGAAACTGCTGGTCTGCTGGGATTTTTCCACAGTCATGTGATGTGGTAGATTGGTATCACCTGCATATTAACTCACCCTCAAATTTGCTGTGGGAAATGGGAGCTAATTTAAGAGTGTTTTTTTGTGTGTGTTTCACAGTTGTTGTGGGCTGGGTTAATTGAAGGCAGGTGTTTTGATAACAGTCACGCGCAAGTACACTTATATTCCAAACTGCTGTTATATTTCCTGTCACTCTGGTATGTTATTTAGTCCAGACTTACAATGGTTTAGATTAAAATGTTTATAGCAGCCATTCTGTTAGTTATATAATTAAGATTCAGTTGAATTTCTTGTTATATTTTCTGTCTTTGCAGGCCAGAGCCTACTATATGCTGCAGAGTTGGCTTCCTGAGGCCGGGGTGACTGTGGTCCTACTCTGTAGAGAGTGCTGGGTGTGTGAGGACAACTGTCCCCTGTTGATGTTGTCTATATGTTGAGGGTAGATGATTTGTGGCACGGTTGGCCCCAGCTTTGGAATGTGGTTTTTATCCCTTTGCAAGTGGGACACTTCCTTTTTTATGTGATTAATCTCGTAGCTGGGGTTGTTTCACATTGACCTCAGGGAGTTCATTAATAAATGTAATGTCAGCTCAAACTGGTTTATTGAACAGTGGGTTCATTGTACTCAAATGATCTCCAAAGCCATTAGCTCTCACTCCAATGGGGCACCTTGGGGATGTGGTGGAACAGGATATTCACATCATGGATGTGCAGCTGACCAATCTGCAGCAGCTGTGTGATGCTATCATATCAATATGAGCTACAATCTCAGAGTTATGTTTCCAGCATCTTGTTGAATGTGTGCCATGAAGAATCAAGGCAGATCAGAAGGTAAAATGGGGTTGAAACGAATACTAAAAAAAAGTGTCCCTGTGCTGTAGACTTTCTTGCAATTCACTGGTCGGCATTCATGAGTCGTGGAAAGTCAGGTGGGGATGTAAAACCATCTGTGGGGAAAACAAAACCAAAAACAGTACTCTGCTCTAAACTGTATCTGGTTATTTCTGAGAGATTAGGATGCCACAGCACAGGTCATCCTTACAAAAGAAACACTCCAAGCCCAAAAGAGAAAAACCTGCTGATTCACACTGTTTATATGATCCTTAAGAAAGCCTTCACCCATTCATGATTAGTCAACAGTTGAGATGCTAACTTTACTATTTTGTAGTTTATGCATAAGTGACCCATGCGTGAATGGATTAACTTCTTCTAACCCAGACCATCCCAAAGTGTGGGGGCGGTATGAAAGGGGGGGGAGAACCAAAACGCTTGGACACTGCCAGCACGGGGCGCCCACAGAAACGCAAAGCAGGAGATGAAGCATAGCTGAATATGTTTCCAAACCAACTTCATTCTAAGCCAAAGACTAGAAAATATGGTGAAGCATATCTTCCCTTTGGTTTCACCTGCAGAATTGGTTTTCCCTGTGTCGGGAGCAGCGCTGGGCTGTTCAAATCACGGACAAACAGTCTCCCACAGCTGTTTATGTTCTTAAACCCATTTTGCACAGAGAAGCATTTTTTGAAAAATGTATTGATAGCAATGTTGAATATTATTACACATGGGGGGGAAAAACAACTATACGTAAAATAATCACCTTGATGCCTCTGCCTTTCTAAATGTAACTGCGTGTGTATTGTAAGCGTGTAAAAACTGAAGATAGTCAGATTAACAGTATTATGTCTCTATCTGCCATTCTGCAATTCATCTCATGTAAACAATAACGTGGCGCTCAGCATGACGTGAAAAAAGGCACATACCTTTGACGTTGCGTGACGAACTCTGTATTCTTCGTCCACACGTAAACGCAAAAAAAAAAGAGTTTTAAAAAAAATCTCCATTTTCGTTGATTCGAAACGCCGTTTACGTGTGGACGAAACAGCTGCGTTTTCAAATTTCCTATGATGGGATTGTACCACCACCATTATTCATGATTTTTATCGGTTAAACAGACGACATGGATAAAAGGTCAACAAATTTGGCACTGGATTTTTTTTTTTCCATACCACACTTCGCAAGACTGGATGTAGCGATGTGTTTCCCTATTATAAATTAACAGATTTAACAGGCAACAGAAAACAAAACAAAGAAAATTAAAAAGAACCTGGAGTAAGATTGTTATACTTAACAGCAGTAAATGTATTTTTTAAAGACCATTAATATGGAGTTGTCACTGAAGTTGTGCAGGATCTCTTTTTAGATTAAAAAAATTCAAATATTTTCAATATTTGGAAATGTTCCTGCTGTTTTTTTAGCACATTATTTTATTTAGTAAAGATTTCACCTAAAAAAAAACATCTTATAGCGAACTCAATGTAAAGTTTAAGATCTAATTAGTATTGTCTGTAGGCATTTTTATAAGAAAAAAAACTTCTGAATAATCCAGGCTCCTTAAATTCTATTATAAGTATGCAAATTTTAATCAGAAGACCAGAGAAAGAAGCCACACTGATGCTATTTATTTATTAAATTTCATTTCAATTATTGTTTGATTTCAAAGCAAACAGGATAAATCACAGGAGATAATATACTGATTAACTATGGATTCAAGCAGTTTGAGTATTGAGGCATATCACAAAGAACTACATCTCCCAGAAGCTCCACAGGGAGGCCAGGAGAGCAGCAAAGAGAGCCACAGTGAGTGGGAGCTGGATGGAAGTGGCTCCGTTACACACGTCTGTGTTACAACACTGGAAAGAGGTGCTGTAGGCCACACTGAGGATGGAGCCGTTCAGCGACGCCCCGCACAGATCCGACTCCAGGCAGCCGCGGGTGTGCAGCTTCAGCCCCCCAGCAGCGCTGAACACTGCAAGGACCGGAAGCAGATGATGAGTAAATATGTAGCGCAGTTTTATCTGCTCCCTAAAACAGCACCTGCTGTTCTGTTTCATAAACCTTCTGGGAAACGTTTTTTAAAATAAAAGTGCAAAACTTTCAGTTAATACCGGCTGATTATCAGCTGAACCTTCTGTCTTCCACAGCCTGAAACCTTATAACTTTAAAGGGAACCTAGTTTGTTTAATTAATGTAGACTGTTTCAAAGGTTCAGACTGTCCCATGGTAGCATTTTGTCAGGGGGCTGAACCAGTGACACAGCATTTTATATTGTATTTTTTATTTCTTGTGTTATTTTTAGTTAAGGTTTGTTATGTTATCATCAAGGTCCCTTTAGTTTTGAGTCTTACCAAAGTTGTATCTAAGCACATCAAACATTTACACACTCAAATTCCGATGGATACATCGGGGACAACTTCGGGGCTCAAGTAGCCTATACACTGTGACTAAAGGAGCCAGGGGATGGAAACTGCCAATCTTCCAGTTCCTTTCAGGCGGTATGAACTCTGGGTGTGAACAAAAGGAATGCATAAGTTGCTTGGAGGCATTTAAATAATTATTGGCAAGTGACTATGACATCTGCCTCTTGAAATGGTAACTGTGTTAATATTTTCAAATAGTTCCTGGTATGGACGTTTGTTTCCGCCACAGTAATTTTGTTAAAATTTACAGATAATTACTCCAATTTTTGTGCCTTTTTGATAGCAATAAGTTATTCAGGTTATTCAGTGGTGGAAACAAGCTTCCATACGACGTCAAGTTTTCTGATCTGACTAAAATTTTCTTTGGCTAAAGTTTTTTGGTTTTGTTTTTTTTAACACGGAGCTGCTGCACACCCAAAGATGTATCTCTGTTTTGTACTGAGCTTTAGTATTTGACAGGCAACCCTAAATTTTTAATGTAATAATTTCACCTGAAATATTTGATTTTGTTCAATCAACCTTTGTCATTCGAACAAAGACGGAAAGTATTTCTGTTTTTCCTTATGTGTTTCCTCAGTTCTGAGCTTTCTCTGTCTGAATATCTTCACAATAGAGGAAAAAAAGTTTCCTTACGTGCATCTCCTGTGAAGCAGCTCTGATTTGTATTAGTACAAGTGACATCTTTTGATAGGAAGCATGTTCCAAAGATGCCAATGGGACACTGACGACAGGTCAGGCATTGTGCTGTGAAGTGGGGGGAAAACAGCAGAGGGATCAGGTTTCAGTCAGTCCACAGTTTCATCTGTTTGCCTCTGTTAATAGTGGAGGAAGCATTTCCCCAAAAACAAATTAAAAAATACATCACAAAAAAATTTATTTTACAAGTAAAAGGTTCCACAATGAAAGAAATACAGTTAAGTAAAAGATCAGACAACTGAGAGCAAAATAGACCCATAATGGTAAGTGGCTTCATTCAGAATGCCATAATGGAGTAGTTTTTAAACTTATGTTGTCTTTGTGCAATCTAAGAATTCAACTACTTTAACTACTTTATCACTTTTAAAGTCTCTTCTTAAAATTTTCTTTAACAAAAAGACTTTTTAATAATTACTTTTTAAAAGCCCAACCTTTTCTGTGATTTTATTTTATTTTTTAAATGTCTTTCTGTAAAGCGCTTTTATAACTTTGTTTAAAAAGTTCTGTATAAGAAATGATGATGATGATGATGATGATTATTATTATTATTATTATTACTTGTTTGTTATTTAATTATTAAATTTTTATTTTGCGTTTTTAGTCTTAAATGATTAGAAGATATGTTTCCTCGTTGAGAAATGATGAGGAACTTTTTAAGGAATCAACTGTAAAGTCCACAGGACCAAAGCTGATTTCTGGCTTTTTTCCCTCCCCTGAACATCGATGTTCAGGAACAATCATTTCCTTATAGCCGCAACCTAAAAGTTCAGGTACTTTTAAGTTGGGTCACTTACAGTTCTCTTATCTCAGCCCGTGTATCTCAGTCATCTACAACAAAAAATATTGTTGAGAATAAAGTAGAAATTTTGAGATTAAACCTGAAATTCTATTTTGAGAAAAACGTAGACGGAGATTACAGAGGTTTCAAGACAAACTGAAAGTGTATATGAGATGGTGGAATCGTACTTCAGAATAAGTGTTAGTTACAATGTGAAATATTTGTCTTTTAGGACATAGAAACAACGTGTTGACAAGTACATTTATGCTCAAGGGATGACGCAGAAAGCCAGATCTGGTCAGAAGGAAAGAAAAACCACACAAACTTGGAAGGGCTGGTCAGTGGACAGATGTGCAGATATCAGTGCAGTAAAGAGGATGTATGCTGAATCACGAGACACGATAAGACAGCTGATTAATTTGTTTCGTGACTCATCTACACAGGGCATATTTTCTTTCTTAATGTGACCCTAGTAATCATATAATTATAATTATCTCATTGTTCTGAAGGCAGGGCTGTGATGCAGTTTTCTGCCTCGCCACTAGAGGGCGCGACCGTTTTGTGAGTAATGTTTGACTGGGATGAAAAATGGTGTTCAGGGAGGCAGTGTGAATCACAAGTTATGCTCGGGAGCAGTTTATGTGGGTTCAATGAGAGTGTGCGTCCATAAGACTGAACCACACACACACACACACACACACACACACACACACACACACATACCCACACACACGCTAAATCTGCCATTAAAGAGCTGAACGATCATCCCCTGCGATCACCACCGTAGAACTGAACCTCATATCAGAAATCATCATAACACTCATAGTCAATATAAGTCATCTATTTTCTTACTTTAATTCTAAAATCTGGGATGTTTTGAATTTCCTGGGACTGCTGGTGGTCTCTGGTCCAACATCCAAAATAAAAACTGAAATATTATGCTGTGATGTTACGGGTATTTTAAAAGCAGTTTGGGAATCCACCACTTGCTAAAAAAAACCCCCCAACCTCTTAATTTTGATGCTTTCTGTAACTTACCTGCTGCGATGAAGGCACCCAAGACAATTGTCGCTTTCCAAAAATTATTCATCATTCACACAAGTCTTCTTAAAATAACTAGGTTAGGTCCGAGTTACGTGTGCGTGTGTTAGGTGAATTTAGAGAAAACAATTTGCAACATTTAAACAATGGCTTGACTTAAAAGGAACATGCAGGAATGTAGTTTATCAGGTTTTTTTTGTTCCAACAGCAACTCTCCAGCCAATTATCTAAAACGTCACAAGCATTCACAGGAAAAAATTAAAATCAATTTCTCAAAAGGTAATTAAGAGCACAAACACCTTTTAGTATTTGTTCAACAGATTTCATGGACTTTAAAATGCTAACTGTTAATACTAATTACATCTTTTCTATTGTGTATTCACTCATTTCCTGCGCTACATCATAAGTGCAGTAAAACAGATATTCTGCACAGAATACAGAAGTTTAGTCAATGAACAAAGTAAAGAAACAAAACAAAACCCTGCATTAAAAACAAAGAAGAAGTTATGTCTTGATGCATGCTCAGTCATCCAGGTAAGTAAATCCCAAAAGATTGACTGTTCATCTGGATGTAGCCATTCCCCAACTCTCTGTGAATTTCCCAACCCAATTTCCTTTGGGGTCAACCTTCAGGATCAATAAAGTTTTATTGAATTGAATTGAATTGATTAGTGGTTTTTGATCAATGGTCATGGGAATTTGCATATGAATGATCAATGAATCGACCTCACGGCACATTGTTCATTCAGGGGGTTACAGTTTCAGTCATTGTGCGAAGGTACTGTTTATAAGATTGGGGAAACATGCAGTCAGCTTAGACTGAAGAAGTCACTTGAATGAGTGACGCAAAGTTTCTCCCACTGACAATGCTACTTCCAGATGAACACAACCAACCTTTTGGGAAAGAAGAAAACAGTTTTTATTTTTGCTGCTTGTTTTTGCCTTCAGAAGGCCCACGGGCTACAGACGGCTGCCAGGCATGCGCCCAATGCAGCGGCGAGAGGAAGGTGGGCAGATGAAGCTCCGTTACATTGGTCGGTGGTGCAGCACTTCCTAGTGAGGGTGTAGGTGATTCCCAGCAGGGATCCTTTTTCTGTTTGGTTGCAGAGAGACGAAGACACGCAGCCCTGATTTTGTAAAGTCATCCACTTACTGATGTCAAAGTCTAAAAAGAGGAAAAACAAGCATGATTTTTACAGATTATTCTCAGATTCTACTTTATTCCACTGAAGTCTAAGTTGTGTAAGGTTGTTCTGAGATTCTGAATGATTTGCCCTTTTGGATACATTCATAAAGACAATCAGAAAAAATGGTTGCAGATTGCTGGATAGTAACCACTGTTTTAATCTTTCAGCATTTTTGTATTTTAACTTATATATTTGCTTCATAGTGTGGTGCTTTTTATATTTGTTTGGCATGTGAAAAATTGCAGGCTTGAGTGCAGCTGGAAACATAAATCCACTTTACGGTGGCTCAGAAAGCCGATCATGCCTTAAACCTGCTTGGCGATCTCTTGTGACATGAGAGCAGCTGCAACCTTATTTAATGTTTTCATTGTGAAATATTTAGGCTCAAATAAAAGTAAGAAATTATGAACAATTAAAATGGTAAATGGCCTGCATTTGTATAGCAGTTTACTTAGTCCCTAAGGACCCCAAAGCGCTTTACACTACATTCAGTCATTCACACACTGGTGATGGCAAGCTACATTGTAGCCACAACCACCATGGGGCGCACTGACAGAGGCAAGGCTGCTAGACACTGGCGCCACCGGGCCCTCTGACCTCCACCAGTAGGCAAACATGGGACTAGTGTCTTGCCCAACAAGATTTGGCATGCAGCCAGGAGGCAGCCTGGGATCACACCACCGACTTTCTGATTAGTAGCTGACCTGCTCTGCCACCTGAGCTACAGCCACCAATTACCTTGGAATTGTAAGATATTGGAGGGGTATGTAAGAAAAAACAAAGGTTTTGGGACAAAATCTCAGTGAATCACCGCCTTATCGTGTGAGAGGGCTTTGTGCGTTCCAGTGATTTCAGGAGGTTTGTTGTCAGGGCTAATTTACCCCTGGTAGGGTCTCCTAAGGCAAATTGTTCCTGACAATAAACTATTGAGAAAGCACCCATGGGTCCCACACCAAGTTAATCTCGGGGTAGGGGATAGAGGGCAAGTGGCCTCAAATTGATTTTGGCAAACCATCAGGTGACTCAGGAGGAAGCAATACTCTTTCACACTGTGTGCAATGGGGGTGATGTGCTGCTGACTTCAGGTGGTAGAAAAAACACTGTCAGGATCTCCTGAATCCCCCTGACATGCCTCCCATACTGAAAGCAAAGTCTGGCGATGATGCATAGGACTTGAAATAAAGCACCAGTTATTCTGCACCGCCACAGTCTTGTTCCATTAAACTGTGAACACGGCAGTATTGGAAGGCTGTAGCTGAAGGTGGAGTTAGTAACAACACAGCCTGGAGCAGACTTTAATCTTTGTGGGACACTCTGCTGTTGTTGCTGTGGCACATTTAAACGTTGTGTAACTAAATCCAAACTGCTTGTTTCACAACCAGTCAGAACATCTTCTGGAATGACTCAAGGTTTCATGCAAACTGCAATTTTTGATGGGGTTGTCAGACATACAGGATGAAGTAATTATTCTTCGTGCCAGCCACACCCTGATCTGTGCTTGCAGTACAGGTTTTTCACGCTCCACAGCCTTACACAGGTCTAGGAAACAATTAACAACTCAGTAGGAGAAAGCTACAGGGAAGTAACACTGTCACTGCAGATGCACAAAAACCCAGTGTCCTCACTCATGTCCCTATTGTTTTTGCCTAAAGAAGTCTAAAGATGGAGGTCAGATTTGTTTCTGAAATCAGATCTCTATGACTGGTTCTCTGTTTTGTTATTTGCTGGTCTGCTAATGTTGTGATATGGTTTATTAGAACCCAAACTTGTGTTGTAGGGTGTTTGTCTTACAATGCCCTGAGGTGACTGTTGTGATTTTCGGCTATATAAATAAAACTGAATTGAACTGAGTTGAATTCAAGCCACATTTTGTGGTAAAGCTTACCCTACCGGGTTGTGTTGTCTAAACCTAAACAAAGGGGCAAATAACAATTTTATTTAAAATAAGTACTTACAGTTGGTTTAACAGAGGACTCAAACGTCTACCTCTTGTTTTTAATCATTTCTTCAACCAAAACATCCTGTTTTCTTCACCTGACTTCTTAAAGCATTTCTTCTAAAGGTGAATTTCTCCCACTACCCGTGGATTCTCTTCATAGTTTTACATCACGCAGACGTGGCTATGTGCAGCCTCACAACCACATTCCTAAGTTAACCTTAACTTAACCCGCACCCTGCACGTAACCTCTTGACCTGGTTGTTCAAACAGGTGTAATCCAGATACAAATGATCCAATAATCCAGTTTACTTTTGTCCTGGTTGTTCAAAAAGGAACTGAATAGGAACTTTTTGATTGTGATACAAAGATTACCAGTGCTTTAACAAGGAGCACCAAAATCCATACAAAATAAAATATCCTTAATTAATTATAGTAATTTCGATAGAAACACCTATTTCATGGAATATTTCATTAGTAATGAATTCATTATTTTATACACACCCAGTTTACCTCACCCACGTTGATACAGATGCACTGTACTGCATGAAATAAACAAATGCACCCATGAGTAAGACAAAAAACATGGTTACCTCTGCTCCTGTTTGCTAGCAAAGCAGGTATGACCAGCTGTGAAACATGAACATTTCTCCTTTTTCTCTGCAGTAACACACTTTCTTCACTGTTTTCTTCATGCTTTTACTCCACTTAGGCTGAAACTAAAACTTGCTTCACTGAGCAAGAAACTAAAAACTGACCAGCAGATGGAAGAAAACCTTAAGAAAATAGACTGAAAATGAGGTTTCACCTTTAAAAGTCTTAATTCATTACATTTTATAATCTATTTTTAGATTATTGCTTTGACTTCCACCACACAGCTCACAGTTTATTTGAAATATTTTCTGTCTTTAGATTAGATTAGATTCAATTTATTGCCATTAAATGTCACTCGTCATTATTTATTTATTATTTTTTCTATGCTTAGAGATAAGTTCATTTATTTATTTATTTTAGTTAGTTGTTTATTTATTTGTGTGAAGGGAACATGCAAAGTAAGCATTTCATTGCTCAGCGTGACCATTTTTGTTTTGCGGTGTATATGACAATAAACTTCTAAAATGTTGAATCTTAAAAAAGGATACAACTCACGTTTGGCATCTAATGTGTATACACAATATACACACACATATACACACAAACCATTTATGATTTTAATAAACAAAAACCCAAGTCCTGCATATATATTGTATGTTTGAAATATAATTTAATAGACTTTTATTACAATAAATATATAGGTAAATTTGGTGATAATTTCAAATCATAGCGAATACAGCAGGCAGTTTATAAATTATGATCCCTGTTTGGAATCAAAGAGGATATTGGGTGATATCCAGGTGGTGTTGACCATCTTTTATATACAGTCTATGTTAACACCAGACATCATGCCTTTACCTTAACTCTGGAAGTTAAGGTTTCACCTCTCATTGGAGAAGCTTCTTTAGTACAGTTCAGAACTGAAGAAGCTTCTCAGACGCTTTTCTTTCCAAGCTTCTTAACTCTGGAATGTACCTGTAGCAATGTGTTTGATGTGCAGACAGAATTCTTCAAGTCCTTTTATTTCAGGTAAGAATTCACAGAATCAACCTGCTGATTCGTGTTACTCACCCACTTTTCCCGTGTAGCAACTGAACTGGGTGTTGTTGCAGCTCTCAGTGGAGCTGAACAAGCAGTTAGGTCCAAAACCCGCTGTGCATGTGTTACAAGTCAGCGATTTGCCTGTGAACCAAGGAGGAAGAGAAATTTCAAGAAACTGTTCAGGAAGTTATGACCACAAGTTACTGGAAAATTTATCAAACATAAATCAGATAACTCATTCAGTTTCCTGATTGTGTTAAGTCATTTTTTTCTAATATAATGGACTGCATTTATATAGCGCTTTTCAAGGCACTTTACAATGCCACTATTCATTCACTCTTGCATTCACACA